CCTTAATTTTCCACCCACCTTTCTGTTTCGATGTTATCTGCACCTCCCACCCATCTTCACCTCCCTTGCATTTCAGTAAAGAGCCTTCCTCCTCTGGTCCATGGTTCTGTTTCCATCTCCTCATTACTCTCAAAGATCATGCTTCATAAAACATCTCCTTTTCCACCCAGCTTCCTTCCCTTCAGTCCAGGACAGTGGTCAGGTGCTCCCTAAATCCAAAGAAATCCCTCAGCTCCAAACCTCTGGCTCATTGTTGTTTTCATTCCTTCCCTTCTCAGTCAGTTTCCTTGTAAGAACAGCCCACGTTCACTCTCTACTTCCTCATTTCCTATTCCCTCCCAAATTCCCTGTATCTGGGCTCTTGCCTACCCTTCAACTAAAACTGTTTGCTGAGGCCAACAGTAACTTCCTTGTTTCTAAATATTGTCTTTATCTAATTGGGCTCATCTGTTTTTTTGACACTGTTGATTTCTCCTTCCTTGAAATTCACAGAATGAATGGCTTACTAGATCTTTTCCTATATCCCATCTTTCTGCTCCTACTCAGTCTCTTTCTTTCACTCATTCCCTAAGATTAGATATTGGTTCTTGTCTTTTTTCACTCTGCTCATTTCCTCTGAGTGGGCTTATTCTGTTCTATGGTTTTCATCATACCAGCTCACACTGCTTTCCTGAGATCCAAACTTTAAATTCTACTAATGGTATCACCTGGGTGTCCAAAACACACTTCAAAATTCACATGTCCAAACTGAACTCATCTGGTTTCCCCTGGCAGCAGAGCTGTACCTTCCCCTACATTGTCTTGCTTAGTAATTAGTACCTCTTTGCCAATTCCTCCAGACAGAAAACTAGGAATGTCTGAATTCCTTGTACATTTTATCTATAAAGTCTGCCAAGTCTCCCTCTTTAACATTGTCTTTTACGGTCTGCTTCTTAATTCAGGTTCCTGTCATATCTTGCTGGAGCTGTTGTAGTAACTCTCTAATTATTCTTATCTCCAGTCTCATTCCCCTATCATCCGTCTTCTGCATGACTTTCAGAGAATCCTTCTCCATCTCAAATCTATCATGTTACTCCCCTGCTTAAGGCTTCGTCGCCCATCCCCTTCATCTTCTAATTTAAGAATAAAATCAAGGCCCATCTTCCACTCTGATCTGAGTCCTCCTGACCCCACAACTTTGTTTCCTGCCACTTCTCATCATACCTTCTAGGCTTCACCTATAGCAAAATATTGACTGTTCTTTGAATTTGCTTTGCTAGGTTCGTGCTTCTGAGCCTTTGCAGTTGCTCCCCAATTATCCTTCCTCCTTCCCCTTAAGATAACTAGTGAACTGATGTTTTGAGATCTTTACAAGTGTCTTCCTCTGCGATATTTTCTCTGACCACCCTCCCTTTGTCCCTTTCCCTCTACTTTTTTATGGCTCTTGTTACCTTAATTGATAATTGCTGGGAACTCCTTAAGGATGGGCCTCTTTTTTGTTTATCTTTATGAGCCCCAGGACTGCCACTGTTAAATAGTGAGGGAAGTGTAGCATATCAGAGTGAAGAGAAAGAGGAAGCAGAATGCCCCCTGGTCAGTTCCCTTCTCACCTGTGGAGAGAGCACTTTTTCCACAGATAGCTCCCCACATACGCCAGGCCCAAACCTGTGTGGTGCCATTGCTGCAGCTGTAGGCCAGTCACTGTCCCTGATGTGTGGGCCTCACAGAGCCTTTACTAGTAACTTTATAGCTGGCACATATATATTTCTCAGTATGTACTGTACTAAGTGCTTACATGTATTAACTCATTTTAGCCTCAAAGGAACCTTTGACATAGGTATTAGTATTAGTCTTATTTTACAGGTGAGGAAACTAAAGCTCTGATCACAGAGTTAGTAAACAGAGGAGCTGGGATTATAAAAAGAATGGGTTGATAAATTGATATTGGTTGAAGCTGGTGATAGGTACCCAAGGGTCTCACTACTGGTTTTCTTTACTCTTGTGTAAGTTTAATAATTTCCATAATAAAACATTGTTTGAAAGATCCAATTGGATTAAATCAATGGAGTGTTTTTTTGAGCAACAGAACCCTTTCTCCAACCAAGTCTTTCAGAAAAGCTACTACGTAAATGAAATAGAAGTGGATCTACTCTGAAGTGAAGCCAGACCCCCTCCTATTCTCCAGCCTCACACTCAGCCTCACCCAAGGCACAGGGTTCAGGGAACACTGTTTAATGAAATCCCTGGACCAGACTTTTCTAAGGATTCTTCTGGCACTTTTGCCTTTCTCTGGTTATATTGGCTTTGCACTGGCCATTAGCCTATATGTCCTGTCCCAGAAACATTGAGGCTGGGCTATTTAATCATTTCTGCAGTCAGTAGAGAATTTATTTGAAGGATTTCAGAAACATGGGTTGCTGTTAGAGATGCATTTCAATGTCTGTCTCTGATGATTGTTTATTAATAATCTTGCTAATCCCTACTCTAGTTCCCAAATCTAGCTAAGTCCTATCAGATGTCCTTGAGGGCATTTAAAATTCTCCCTGGTTTCTTGGAGACAGATGTTTCCTTCTGCCTGGATTCTTCTCTAATACTTATATTTATGAATATTTCACATTTAATCTTCCTGATTATATTTCCATGCAATGGTCATGGTGCATTGGCTACATTTCTCAGGGAAGACGTATAAGAAGCCCACAGAAAAGGTTTGACTTCACAGGCACAGTGCCAGAGATCTTTGTTCTTGCCACTAAGATGGCCTTCTGTCATAGACAGTGACAGGGGAAATGCTGCATGGTGAGTTTGCATGGGACTTTTCAGCCTAGGGCTTTGTACCCTGGCTAATGACCCAAAGGGACTGGCAGTTTCTCTCAAGGATCAAAAGTGACTGAGACCTGCCCAGTCTCCTCAAGGACCACATGTTGGGTCCCTGTACCAGAATTTCTCAACAGCTTCCCAGTCCCTCCTCAGGCCCCATCCTTCCTACACAGGCATCCTCCACAGGAAATGTGAGCATTTCCACCAGTACCTCCAGCCTGAGAGAAGAAACTTTGATGAATTCATCTGCACTGACAAAGAAAAATTAGCACCAGTGCCTAAGGGCTTGTGTGTTTAAAGTCAACCCCAGAGAAAAAATAGTGAGGCTTATATGTGATGAATGGGGTGTAAGGTTACAGAAGAGATGCATGGTTGGAAGACCATAGATTTAGAAGTTACCAGTGTAAAAATGTTAATCCCTACTATAGGAGACACCAGGGCTCCCCTATAAGAGAGAAGGGAGGGCTGAGGACAAGACCCTGCAGAGGAGACAGAGGGCTGTGGCAGGAGACAGAAATGATGGTCAAAGAGGCAGAAGGAGCTAAGGAGCACAGTATCCTCAAAGCCAGGGGGGGGGCCATTTCCAAATGGATGTGGTATTTATGACATGTGACAAGTGCTGCAGCAATAAGTAATGTGACTGAGGAAATTGGAAATGTGCCAGGGCTCCCCTGGAAGGATCTCACATGCACATTTATGGGCTTTTTTATCCTTTGAGAAGCCCTCCCTCAGGCAGTTTTGGAAGAGAGCCCTCCCTGCAGCCTAAGGGGAAAGCCAGAGCCCAGCTGTCAGGTCTCCCCATCCCCTGCAAATAGTGCCTGTGAGGCTGTTTTGACCACAGAGAAGCATGTGAGGGCCACCTGAGGACGGCTTCCTCAAGGCTGTGGGGACAAGTGCTATCTATAAGGAGTCTCTCAAGGAGGAACTTAGCCAGGGAGGCAGAAGATGAAGGACCAGAGAGGCTTGCAGCATGAGAAGTTACCTGAGGTGCAAGCACTAGGGCACCCTACCTTTTCTGAGCAGAACCTCCTGCCCCATCTCCCTCAACCACAGCTAAGGGGTGGGGATCAGAGCAGAGGACACAGGCCCAGGTCTGCCTTCAGTAACTCAAAAACCACTGTGGCAACACAGGCCACCCAGTGCCTTGCACCCTGGATGGTCTGAAGGCACACAGACAAGGCCAGAATTTCCCTCCCAAACATTCTAGACTTTTCTCCTTTCCCTTAGAGACAAACATGTTTTCATCCCCACTGCCTCATTATAAAGGGAACAGAAGCCACCATAATGGTTATGTATCCTTCCTTTTCCTGGGTCACCAGTAGCTGCTCAGATCCCTGGGCCTGACACTGTGGGCCAGTCCTGGAGCATTCTACCTGTGCATCTGTCTGCTCTCTGCATCCCTGGAGGCAGCACGGACAGTCGCCTAGGATGGCAGCACCCATTTCAATGGCTGGTCATCAGTTTCTCGTGTGCCAGGATCCTGGATCTTATAGCAGAGGTTTGGGGTGTTTCAGAAGGAAGAGTGAGGCTAGATTAGTGAACAGCACAGAACTAAATGGCTACCAGTAATTTGTCGTTATTTATCTACTCACCTATCATACCCAGCCAACCTTTCAGGTTCGCCCAGGAAATACTCTTTAGGACTCATCTGTGAAATAGAGAGGTCCTCATGAGAACTCTTAGTGTAGTGGCTGGAACCTTGAAGTCCGGCCTGGCTTGGCCAGTCAATTCTCTGGATCCTGTGAAGGGGCCCTTCCAGTGCCAGGGGAAACCAAGGGAGAAGACATGTCTGAGGGAGCAGAGCACCCACTCTGACCTTGGTCCAGAATTAAACTCCCAGGGACCTAGAAAGACCTTTCCAAATAAGTGCAAGGAAGGGTCCTAAGGAACAAGGCAACGGTTGGGAAACTGGAAAAGAATGTCCTACGGGTTTAAGGAATCATGGTGGGCTTTCTGGGGGAGGCTGGATCAAACAAGACTTTAAAGACAGACAGCCAGGTGGGGGGGCCAAGTTCCTTGGCTTTTATATCCAGTTCAGGCTCTTCCTCCCAGGGTGCTCCTCCCTCCCTGAATATCCTGCCAGCTGCCAGGGGCAGATGTCCTCAGAGGCCCAGAGGACAGGTGGGAAGGCCAGCCTTGGGGCTTAGAGCAGTCCCCTGTGTTTCCTTTCTAACAACCCTGTCTCTCTGTTTTCTCCTCCTTAGGACCCAGCCGCCGCCTCCATCTCAGACGGAGACTGTGACGCCCGGGAGGGTGAGTCAGTAGCCATGAATTACAAACCATCCCCGCTCCAAGTGAAGCTGGGTGAGTGTGTCTGGGGGAGTAAGGGAGATGTGGGGAGTGGACAAGGTGCCGTGGGCTGGATCTGCAGTGAGGTGCTGTAAATATGCTAGATGATTCCAAGACTCAAGCCACTATGTTATTGGCACTGCCAGGCACCTTATCTCCTGCAAGGCAAGGAGGGAAATTACATTTCTCTGCAGGACCCAAAACTCTAGGAGGCATCTCTGCATCCAAGAAGGCTCCAGGTATTCCAGAGGATAGCTGCAGGGATAAAGACATGGAGCCCCAGAGAGAGGGTTGGAAGTCCCATCAAACACTGGAACAAGTGGAGAAGAAGCTGTAGAGGTGGGGTGTCAGTGGCTGTGTCTGAGCAGTAGAAAGGAATGAGGATCCCAAAGCCTAGAAACTGAGCCCCTCTCCCCATTCACTCCTTAGCCCATCTACAGATCTCAGGATCTGGTTGGTTCCTGTTTAGGGGAGTGTTCTCTTACTTTTTGGTAAACCCAGGTATCTCCATCCCTTTGCAGGGACTGCTTTCCCCTGGGGTTATCTCAGGTCCACTCCGGTCAGTTGGTGCAGCAGCATTCTCCTTTGAAGTCACTTGGCTCCCACCACTGCCCAGAGCTCCTGTAGCTGCTGTTCTCCCTTCACCCTGCACCAAGCCCTTCTCCCTTCAGAGACCAAAGCTTTGCTCACCCAAGGCTGCTGTGTGTAACAGACTTTTACTAAAAAATTTGGTTTCATGAAGAGAAATTACAGCACAGCACAAGGCATCCAGGAAAGCATTTACAATTAAATACAGGTCATTGCTGTCCTTTAAAACTCCTCTGCCATCCCTGCCACCCTCCTGTCCCTCTTTCTCCTCAGGCTCCAGCTGCCCATAGAATACTGGACCCCTCCTCAGTCCTAGGAGCCCTTTCCCCTCTACTCTAAGACCTTCTCCCTTGTCAGCTGCCAGGACTCCTTTTCACAGAGTTTTGTGCTTTGAGTCAGTCTTTTTTTAAATCTTGCTTCTCTCCTTCTAGACCACATCCAAGGAGCCCCTCAGGCTGTTCTAAACAAGAGAGCAGTTCCTTTAGTGGAATCTGTTCATCTTCTCAAGACATCAGACTTAAATGGCAGCCAGTTTTATTTGTTTGTTCTTATTAAATTTAATAATACAACAATTTAAACAAGTGTAACTTCTCTGTTTACTCTCCCCTATTATATTTTCCTCCCCAGAAATAATCACTCCAAGCTTTTTTCATTTTTCTAGTTTTATTTTGTATTTTAACATAAATGGTATCATACTGTACACATTTCCTGAGGCTTTTTTTGTTTTTGTTTTTGTTTTCCACTTAAGGTCTTGGAGCCCCTTCCATTGTCAGTATATAGAAAATGACTTCATTCTTTTAAATGGTTGCATAGTAGTCAATGGTTTTGTTTTGCCAGTTTATTGTTTGCATATTTTTCATTAATTCAAACAATTCCAACATGCTTTCAAAATAGCACTTTTTCCCCCTTCCTATTATATTACATTACTACCAAATCTCTTCATGAAAATTCACAACCTTGTCCCAGTTGCACTGATGAAAGGACCACCAGGAACTTTAAGGCAAACTGCACCCCCTAGAGGCTTGGAGTGGTAATGGTGGCTGCTCGTGATGAAAAGAGGCTGGGGAGAAAACGAGCCGAGCCGGAGGAGCAGTGGCAAAGAACAAAGGTCAGAGGCTGGCTGGTAGATGAGAGACTCAGAGACATGGAGGCCAGGGGAGATTCCAGGGTCACGGCAGCTGGAAATGCCCTTCCCATCTTTCCTCTCTGGAGTGTATGGTTATTTTACGGGAGCTTTCCCCTCTCAGCCCTCTCCACTCAATAGTCCCCTCCTCCTACACCTGCACAATTGGGTAAGAGAGTAGACAGGCCCTGTCCATGGCCCAGGCAGTTACTAGCTATGGGTAACAGTGCTACACGTGGGGCAGTGGGTCCCATGGTGACCAGCCCCATGAATCTGGTATGTCTGGGGCTCAGAGAATAGAGATGCTCCAGAGGAGTCAGAAGTATAGCCAGAGAGGCTCCCCCAGCCTCCTGCTCCCTTCCCTCCAGCCCCATTCTGCCCAACCCACTTCACAGCCTTCAGCCCCTTAGCATAGAATCTGAGACATGATTGATGGCCCAGACTAAATAAACATATTCTACTTTTCCAACCTGACCTCCTTCCATCTTCACCCTCCATCCCATCCACGTCCATGCTTATTATGCTTGCTTCTAAAATGTATTTTGTGTACACTATCCCTCCTTCCTAGATTGCTCTCCAGCTCAAAGTGTCCCCTGCAAGAAGCCCTTACTGCTCCATCCTTCTGCTCCATCTCTCTCTCCCCAGCCTCTCTCTAGCGTCAAGCACACACCAACTGCCCTGCGTGGGAGTATCTCCTGGAAGACAGGAGTCAGCCTCCTCCTGTTGCCCTTTACAATGTGCCTTGGGTTGTGCAGGGCCAAGTACTGTCTTCACAGAGTGACACGGCCTAGAGTTGGGATCCCTGCCTCAGTTCCTAGAGAAGCAAGGGGTTTCACAATGGAGGCCCAGCCCGGGCTGCCCTGAGCAGTAAGGTAAGGTGGCCCTGGGGCAGGACACAGCTTCCTTCCCATGTTCCCCTGCAGAGAAGCAGCGGGAGCTGGCCCGGAAGGGCTCCCTGAAGAATGGCAGCATGGGTAGCCCTGTCAACCAGCAACCCAAGAAGAACAATGTAATGGCCAGGACAAGGTACAGGCCCCTACCCTGCCTGGACCCCGCCAGCCACCACCTATCTCTGCTGGTTTGGAGCCTCCACCTCCCGCTCCCTTCTCAGGCCCAGCTCCTTTCTGAGAGGAGAGTCTGAACAGGATCCAAGGAGTGGGGGTGGGAGGAGTGCTGGTCACGGCCCAGCCCAGTTCCTTGCCAGGCTTGTGTGCTCCAGTTGCCAATCCAATCCCCAAACTTCTTCACCCAGGCTGGTCGTCCCCAATAAAGGCTACTCCTCGCTTGACCAGAGCCCCGACGAGAAGCCACTGGTAGCCCTTGACACAGACAGGTGTGTACGGGGGTGCTGGGACAGCCAGGCAAGCCGCCGGCACCGCAAACATACAGGTGGGCTGTGTAGGCCACACCTGTTCTATTTTCAGAACTGGGGGTTCCCCAGACAGCCAGGAACTTTCCGAGGGTGAATTGCCAGGGAATGAAAAGTTTTACCTGGAGGTAGGGGGACCAGACAGAGGAGAAGAGGACTGGCATGGTTTGCTGCTGTGCTGGGACAGCTGACCCAATGGCTGCCCCTAGAATGGGCCCAGACACCAGTCTGGTGCCCCTCCTCCTCTAAGGGGGGTGCCCTACTTCTGGGAACACACTTGGCTCAACCTGGCTTTGGGAAAACCCAAGAAGATAGGGGAACTTTAGCCTAGAGAAAAAGATGGGAGGGAGGAAGGAAGGGGATAGGGAGTAGCAGCTCTATTTACGAGGAGGCCAAGGGTGGCACTTAACTTAGAAGGGTGGGCTTAGGAACCTGTCTTAAAACTGGATTTGCACCCTAAGGACAGTTTTTATTTAGATCTTGCTGTTATTTGGAATCATAGGAGAGGGGCTGGGGTTTCAACTGGTAGGGGGCAATAGAGTACAGGGAGTTTTTTATTTAATTTCTTCTCTGTCTCCTTTCTTCCACCACCAGTGATGATGACTTTGACATGTCCAGATATTCCTCCTCTGGCTATTCCTCTGCTGAGGTGAGGCCCCACTCCTTCTGCCCTAGACACACCTGAGCAGTCTCCTTCCATCTAGGAGAAGGTGTGGGGCCAATGCCAAATCACCCCCTGAAAGAAGTAATGGGCAAAGCTAAGTGCAGCCCCTGGGGGAACCAGGCCTAAAATTGGCAGACCTGGGATGGGATGTCTGAAAGAAAGGTGAGGCTGTTAGACACTGACCTCAAATGGGAGGGCCCAGGGATAGCGGCAGGGCTTGAGCCCAGGGTTGGAACCTGGCTCTTAAATAGAATGGGGTGTGAAATACAGGTGACACCTTATGGACTGGGCCTGAAACAGGGGCAGGGCCTGAATAGAAGTAGGGCCTGGGGCAGAAAGAAGCCCTTAGAATGGGTAGGATCTGTAGCAGCCGGGCCTCACAAAGATGTGCCTGTAAGGAAGTAGGGCTGGGCCTAAGAGAAGCCTGGGATTTCAGAGAGAAGTGGGATGAGACCTGGCCGGGTGCAGAAGGCCTGGGGATGCACCCATACCAGCAGTGGGTGCTGCCTCCTAATTGCCTGAGCCTGACCTCCCTCCCCTTTGTCTACAGCAGATCAACCAAGATTTGAACATCCAGCTGCTGAAGGATGGCTACCGGTTAGACGAGATCCCCGATGACGAGGACCTGGATCTTATCCCCCCCAAGTCTGTGAACCCCACCTGCATGTGCTGCCAGGCTACGTCCTCTACCGCCTGCCACATTCAGTAGCAGGTGGGGCCACCGTGGCCGCTTGGGGCAGGGCCGCTGTGGGCCAGGTTGGACAGGGCAGGGGCCTGACCCCTCCCCAGCTTGTCCTCCTGTCCCTGGCCCCCATGCCCCCTACAGCCGCCAACCTCGTAACAGTCATTGCTTCCTCCTATGGTAGGACGTGTACCTCTGTGTGTTCATGGAGCCGGAGAAACCAAAATGGGGTCTCTCTCCACCCCTGGGGCTGATGAGGTGTGGGAGCTGTTTGTTCAGTTATTTGGGGAACCTTGCCTAGCACCCTGCCTCTCTCCCCAAAGTTGTGGTCCTAAGGGGGAGAGAGGACACTGGACAGCAGGGAGGCCAACAGTAACGAGTGGGGGGTGGGTCACAAAGCCAGGGGCCTGGCCCCACTGCAGTGAAGCCATGAACCCCCTCAGCCCCAGCCTGACAAGGCAAGAAGCTCAGAAGGAGAAAAGCCCAGGGCAGTGTGGGCAGTGCTCAGCACTGGGGAGCTCCCTCCATGCACTCCCTGCTGGCCCATGTACCCATTTGTGTTTTTTCCCTGATCTTCAGGTGGGAAGCCTGGCAAAGCTACCCTGTGGGATATTGCCCCCCCCCATCAGATCACTACCTTCTTCCTCTCTTTGCCCCTTTCACCCTTTTCTTGCTCTTGGTTGTGGGGGAGGGTAAGGTAGGCCATAGAGACAGGCCAGAGTTTGGGGGGTATGATCTGTCCTCACCCACCCCTAACCAGTGCATCTCTCTCTCTGCCAACACCCCGTGCTTTTGTTTATTGGTCTCTGTCCCAGGCTAGAAGCAGGAGGTAAGGCTGGCCTCTGGTGCCCCTTTCCCATCTCACTCCAGCCCAAGATCCTGGATGCTTCATCCCAGTAAGAATCTTCAAGGAAGCAAGCTTAGAAGAATATAGTGGCTGCATGTGTGTGGTAGGGAGAATGTGTGTGGGGGTGAGGATGTCAGAGTGTGTGTCTGTGGCTGTGTATTGGGCCTGTCTCTTCAGATGCCTGTTTTTGTTATAGATGTGAGTGCCCTTTTGGGGAAGTGACTGTGTGTTGGGGAAGTGACTCAGCAGTGCAGTGGACTGAGATCCCAGGACTGGGAGTCAGAAGCCTGGGTCTAGTCCAAGCTCTGGTACTCTCCCTGTGATCTTCAACAGTCACTTGCATTCTTCCAGCTTTAGCTTCCTCAACTGTAAAATTAGCAGCATCTGAAGTTATTTTTAAAGTCCTTTCAAACCTGAAGGAATTGCTTCATAGGAATTTCTGTGCAGGGGTACAGTCAGGTCTCTGTGTGTCTTTGAGTATACCTCGGGGGCTTCCTGAGTTATGTGCAGAATGGAGGCGGGGAAGTTCCTATGGGACATGTGAGCGTCTGAGTATATGTGGATCAATTTGGGAATTCATGTGTGTGTTTGTGAATGTGTATGTGGGGGGTTGTCTGTTATGGGTGTAGCTATATAGGTTGTCTGTGAGTCAGATGTGTATACTGCATCTGCTGCTGTTACTGGGGTGGGGGCAGTGGGGGTGCGTATGTGCCAGAAGAGCTGAGGATGAAAATCAAGAAGGGGAGATGACAAATCCCCCAGGGCTTGGGCACTGTAGACCTGGCCCCATGTGAAGAAAACTGAAAGCACAGATAGCCCAAGAGAGACCCCATGTCCCAGGGCCAGGGTGCATAGTCCCCATTGCTTCAAGCTGACACCCCACATGCCGGTGTATCCACTCTCGTGTATGCCATTCACATGCTGCAAGCATGCCAAGGGCACACCCACAGCCCACTCCCTGGATGCCATTCCTGGGAGGTGGGATCTGGAAGGGGGAGAAGATAGTAAGAAGAGGGAGTAAGGCTGTGGCTTATAAAGGGTAGCACCTCTCCCTGCACCACACCCAGGGGCTGCCAGCTCCAAAGTGATGAGGTGCAGGTCTCCCCCTCAACTCCTCCAACCCACCCCTACCTCCTGTGGTGCAGGGACCCTGGTTAGAGGATGAGAAAATGCCAAAGGGAGGCAAGGACAGAGAAGGTATCTGCAGGGCCCAGAAGGCCCATACTGGCCACCATCTGAGCCTATCTCCCACTCTGGTCAGCATCCCTACCTCCTGTCATCTGGGCCCCAGAGCCAAGCCTCCTCCTCCCACCACCAACCTGGGCTCCTTGACTCACCCTTCTAGAACATGGGTACCTCCTCTTCTTTGGGCAGGGCCCCCACCAAGGCTCATTTAGACTGCTGCTTTTGCTGCTGTGTGACTCTGGCCCATTGTTCAACCTCTCTGTCCCTAAGGAACCAGGGAAAAGCTCCCTCCCTCCACAGGACACCTAGTTCCCTGGCAGGCAAGGCTTTCAACCAAGGCAGTGGAGTGGTAGATAAAGGTAGGAAGCTGGCAACCAGCACCTTCTGGATCTAGGGAGACTGCATCATTCCCTCCGTCCCTGTCTGGGAGGTTGGAGGGGAGGAGCTGAGGCCTTAGCTTGCCCCCCTGCTACCCATCCCCCTTGTAGATACTGCCTTAACACTCCCTCTACCCTCAGCTCTGGCTGCCACCCAGCCAGGTTTCTCCGTACTCACTAATTTATTTCCCGGACGGTGTGTGGAAGACATGAGCTGTGTATAATATATTTTTTAACATTTCCATTGCAGTATTGACCATCATCCTTGGTTGTGTATTGTGTAACACAAATAATGATATTAAAAGCATCAAACAAGCCAGCCTCAGCTCCCTGCCTGGGGTGTGGGCATGGGGCAGGTGGGCTGGGAATAGGAGAGAACTGATCCTCTGAATGCCCACTTCAGTCTCCTTCCCCTCATGAGTTCCCAGGCCAGGCCTGCCACTGACCTGCTGCATGACCCTGGGCATCATTTGACCCCTCAGAACCTGTTTCTCTTCACTAAAGTGAGAAGCTTGGTCTAGAATGTACAAGGGCCTTGGTCTAGAATGTACACACTAGTGAACACAGTAGGGTTGCCCAGTGTGGAGCATGCACCAGCAAAGGAATGTGCTGGTACAAGAACCAGCATTCCAAGGACCTGAGGGCAGATCTTCTAAGAGATCCGTGGGGAGGAGGCCTCTTAGCATGCACCAGCAAAGGAATGTGCTGGTACAAGAACCAGCATTCCAAGGACCTGAGGGCAGATCTTCTAAGAGATCCGTGGGGAGGAGGCCTCTGGCAGATTAGAGTAAGAAATCCTGGAAAATGGGCTGTTTTCAGAGGCTGAGGCAGGGAGAGGCTGGAGGTGGAGAGGGAATTGGATCAGGGATGGGGCTGATCCAGGTGATATCATAATGGGCATTGTCCATCCTGGAGGGGCAGCAGGGTGGGGTAGGAGCAGGAAGGCTATAGGGGAGGGAAGCTGAGAGATCCTTCACAGCAGCTAGGGGCACCTGCTGGGCTGAAGGTGTGGGCTATCTGGGAGAGAAGCTGGTAACTGATGTCTTGCAGGAGCCCTTAGTAGGTAGAGCTCCCCACGGCATCCTCTAGACCTCACTATGTTCCTCTTCTCCCGGAAGACCAAGACCCCCATCAGCACCTACAGTGACTCCTACAGGCCTCCTACCTCCATCAAGGAGGTCTATAAGGACCCACCTCTGTGGGCCTGGGAAACCAACAAGTTTGTGACCCCGGTAAGTGGAGGTTGGTGGGGAGCAGGGGCCCGCCAGAGTGTATGGCCATGTGTGTCTGGGTGACTGAAAATGCGCGGCTGTCATTATATGTTTGTAATTTTTTTTGTAGCTTTGTATGTGTGTGAGATTCATTTGCCTAAGCATGGAATTTATAATAATATATAAAATATTGTAAGATTCTGTCCTACTCCACCAGGGTAGGAGGTTTGGAGCGAGAGATAATCACAAAATAACAACAATAAACAAGAGTTTTATAAATTACCCAAAATGCTGTAAAGGAAATAATCAGGACCATGGAAATGGAAAGTAACCAGGAAGAGCTACTTAAACAGAGAGGTCATGGAAGACCTGTCTTTCAATGTGACATTGAGCTGAGACTGGAAAGATGAGAAGGATCTAGACATGTGAAGAGCTGAAAGAATAGGGTTCCAGGCAGAGTCATCAGAAATGCAAAGGCCCTGAGGCTTCTTGTGGAATATTCCAGAAAATGTACTATAGGCATGTTCTTATGCATGAGAATCACAATCTGCCTGTATCTGTGTGTCTGTACTTGAAGACAGGTTGGCCACGTGGGTCTGTGCAGCTTTCACAAAATGGAGAGATCTGTGAGTCTGTGACTCTACCGAAAAGAATTTATCTGTGTGTACCATCCAACAAAACTGAGTACCTACATGTGCCGGGCATAATGCAAACACAGCAATGAAGGGTCAGACCATGCCTCTGAGGAGCTCTCAGCACACTAGTGAACACAGTAGGGTTGCCCAGTGTGGAGCATGCACCAGCAGAGGAATGTGCTGGTACAAGAACCAGCATTCCAAGGACCTGAGGGCAGATCTTCTAAGAGATCCGTGGGGAGGAGGCCTCTAGCAGATTAGAGTAAGAGGAAAGGGCAGCCTAGGGGCAGGGATCCACCAGGAATAGAGAACTGCTGGAGCAGAGGGAGAGGCTAGGTCCTATGGTAAGGGAGGAGCCTCAGACCCCAGAAGTCCTCAAGCTCTTTGAGAAATGTGGACAGAATGCTCCAGGTTTTTGATTCTGGGACCGTGATGATTGGATTGTGAGTTATGCCACTCTGGCTACAGTGACAGGAGATAGGAGGGGCGGGGGCTGGGAGCAAGAAGCCCAGTGAGAATGAGGGAGGAGAATGTGAGTGGGAGATAAGAAGAGACCATGGCAGTCAAAAGGACTCTGTTGAATAGGAGAGACTTTTTAAAATAATTTTTATTATTACAAAATAAATATATGCTCAGTGCAGAAAATGCGTATAACCCAAGAGAAGCACAAAGAAAATAGGTCTATAATCTCACTACCCAAATTAACCATTATTAATTTATCATTATATGCCCCTTTAGGAAGCAAATGTTTTTTGTAATATTGAATATTGACACAATATGAAAATGGTGTCATATTGTATGCTAACATTTTGAATGTTGCTTTTTCACATAACCATATATCAGGTACATTTTCCTGTATCAAAAATATTCTATAATGTAATTTTACTGATTGTATAGCATTTTATGAATGTACCAAAATATACTTAAGCAATCTTATTGGAAATGCAGGTTATTTATAACATTTTGCTAGTATAGTCATTCTTGTGAATATATCTTCGTATACATAACTATTCTCTTAGGATAAATTCCTAGATGTGAAATTGTTGGGAGAAAGGATATGCACATTTTTAAAACTTTTGTTATACACTTCAAATTGCTGTAATAAGGGTTGTAATAATTTATGTGCCCAGCAGCAAAATGTGAGAGTGCCTGCCTGCTTTTTCACACTCAGTAGGAGGGATCAACAGATCTTGGTCACCATCTGGATATAAAGAAGAGGAGAGATTAGGATGACTCCAGGGTTTATGCTCTAGCAGCGGAGGAATGGTAGGGGCTACCAACTGAGATTTGGGATTACAGACAAGTTCATTTTGAGACAAAAATATTTGAGGACTTCCAGCAAAAGATGTCTAGTGGATAGTTGGATATACTTATCTGAAGCAAAGGAAAAAGATTTAGACTACAGATTTTGAAATCATCAATGTATCAATGATAGCTGAAGTCATGGAGTAAATGAAATTGCCAAGGAAGGGTAAGAAAATGGCCAAGGACAGAACTTTGGAGAATATCAATATTTAAAGGGTATGTAAAGGAAAAAGAGCCATAAAAAGGGACAGGGTGATAGGAGGAAAATCCAAAGAAACCAACAAAGATAGCATCGTTAGACAAAAGTCAGTATCAGATGTTGACACCAGTGGGGCTCTCTTGGATGCAGTAGCCTTCAGTAACCTGGCTAGCCAGCTTCAGTGAGGAGGGACAGCCAGAGAGCAATGGGATTATGAAGGAAAGGTTTTGCTTCTGGCAGTGTGGTGGTCTAGAAACTCTGAAGGGCCCTCCTTCAAAAGGTCCTGCATAAAAATTTATTTTGTTTTGGACTCTCATATACTTAGAAGACAGGATTGCACTGAGGATCAATGTCAATATCAGTGCTACAAGCGGGAATTTAAGCCTAGAGCTAACTGAGAGATGAAGGAAATAAACCTATAAATTCCAAACTGAACCAGAAAGTTCAGTGAAAAATGGGTATTTACTATGATGGAAAAGATCTTCAAAGTAAGTTTCAGGTATCTTTCAGAGTAAGGTCAATCAAATCTGAGTGCACATTAAGAGATGTAAGGAAACAAACCACCATATGACAGAATCAGCAGAAACAACAGATTTAACCCTCCAAGGACTTCAGATACTGGAATTAACAATTAAAGAATAAAAAATAATTATGAATTTTTAAAAACAAAATGTGAAATCATCAAGATGAGCAAGCAACAAGTGAGTATATTTCAAAAGATGAAACAAATGTAAAAAAGAACTGAATAGAAATTTTAGAAAAATGTGTTAAAAGCAAAAACTCAGTGCACTGGTTAAAAAGCAGATTAGACACATTTAAGAAAATCAGTGAAATGAAAGAGTAAAAGAAGTTTCCCAGAGTGCAGCACAGAGAGGCAGAGACTGTATAAAAGAAACATTTAGCAATATAAAAGAAGATCTCACACACATCTACTTGGAATCTGGAAGGAAAGAGCAGAAAGGAGAATAGGCATTATCTGAAGAGAAAAAGGCTCCAAGTTACCCAGAACTAATGAAAGAAATAAATCCACAGAATAACTAGAAGAAATTCCACACTTAGATACCTCACAGTGAAACTGTACACCACCAGCTTAAGAGATGACCTTAAAAACAGGCAGAGAGAAATTATTGTCAAAGTGTCTTCCTTTCAAGAACAAAAAGATAAAGATACTTACGGGCAAACAAAAACTAAAATGTTTGCTATGAAAAGACCTACAATAAAGAACTTCTAAAGGATATACTTTGGGAGAAGGGAAATGATCATAAAAGGAAGGTCTGAGATGCAAGAAGGAATGATGAGCAAAGAAACTGTTAAGAATGAGATAAATTTAAGCAAATGTCTATAGAAAATAATTATAAGGATTTTTAATTTTAAATATTTAAAGAACCTAAATATTAGAAAACAATATCATAATAGTTGTATACTGGAAAACAATACCATGTAAGATTCAAGGATAGGAAAGGATTGTTTTTAAACTGTCATTACTCACAAATGATACAGTTGTATATATAGAATCTACAAATTATTAGAATAAGAGAAGTTAGAAAGTTGATAAATATAAGGTAAACATCACATGTCTTTATATCAACAACAATTATTTCTAAAGCATAATTAGAAAAATACATTCTAGCAACAGAAAATTAAGGTAAGTAGAAATAAATCTAATAATGTGTTCAAAACTGGATAATATTATAAAATTTGAATACTTAAAAAGATAAATGGAGAGGTATAACATATTCATAGTTAGAGTCATTTATGTAAAGATTCAATGCAATTCTGATTAAAATCTCAACAACACTTTTTGAAGAATTTAACAAGTTGTTTCTAAAATGCATAGAGAAGAGCAGAGGCCCAAGAAATAGCTAAAACACACCAGAAGAAGAAGGGGACTTGCCCATCAGATATTAATATTTATTACCAAGCTATAGAAATTCATAAAGCATAGTATTACTGTAGGAATCGACAAATTGATTAATGGAATAAAATAAATCAGAAATGGACCCACAAATATATGGGAACAATTTACAACAGAGACGATTGAAAATAAGGCTTTTGGAAAATGTTTACCAGGCTTGGGGTGGCATTACAATTCTGTGGGGGATGACAGATGACTCAGTGGGACAATTGGTTATCCTTATGGATAAAAATAAAACTGGTCCCTAACTCACCCAAACCCAAAAGCAATTCCTCACAGACTGAAGACTTAAATATGGAAAGTAAAATTTTACAGCTTTTAGAAGAAAGTATAGGATATTATCTCCATTATTTTAGAGTATGGATGGATATCTTGAACAAGTCACAAGAGCACTAAAAAGCAGAGATTAATAAATTCAAGAGGATCCTGTAAGCTCTCTTGGGAGAAACCCAGGTCCTGCTCCTAGGCAACATAAGGTCTGGAAGACAGAGGACAGGAATACCCAGCTCTGCTCTTAAAGAGCTTCCAGCCAAGGAAAGGACAGAAATGAGAACTCAGAAAACCACTCTGACTGAAGGCAAATGCCTAACTCCAAGGCCTTAGTCTTTGATGGAAAAAGAAGAAGAAATCGTAACTCAAACAAACAAAAGAACTATTCAGGGGGGACCAATGCTGGCATGGAGATCCTTCTGGCATAGGGAGAAGGGTTGGGATACCCACCTGGGCTGACTTTCTCAATAGGGGTGGAATCCAGATCCAGCAGGACACCAAGGCTGGGGTCTCTATGCACCTAGCCATTTCCACCCTATCCCCTTGCCCAGGGCCTGACTCAGACCATGCAGCGCCACGTAGATCCTGAAGCCCTGCCGAAGATGGTTAAATGTGCTATGCAAGACTACTGCTATAAGGATTCCATACCAGGCCACCCCTACTTGCCTGAGAAATATTGGCTATCTCAAGAGGAAGGTAGGGCTCATTCCTCACTCTACTCTGACCCCACTCAGTGACCCCGATCACCCTCCACCAAACCAAACTTGGATCCTGACCCCCACTCTAATCCTGTATCAACTTTATCCCCACACATGACCTGGGCTACTTATCACCCCATTCAAGCTTGACTCCCAAACACCTGACCCTGACCTTGATCCTGACCCTGAAGGAGGAGATCCAGGCCCTGTCTTTTGGGAGCTCCCTGTCTGTGCCAAAGAACTGGAAGAGTCCTGGGTCTTATCCCTAGAGGGATGGAGGGTATATTAACCTCCAAACAAATCCCTCCAGGTCTATTCTGGGTACCAACTCGTCCCATTTTCTTAGTGACCCTGGACCGTCAGGCTCCCCACCTCTCCTGCATCCCTCTGCACCACCAGCCCTCTCCCCTCAACCTGGAAATCTTTTCTAATTTAAGGCTTCCAGCCTAAAAATTTTCTCTTGCTCATCCCCATCACAGCCAACGTTCTTGGAAACATAATCCATACTGTCTCTACTTCCTCAGTCCTTCTTACACCTTACAAGAAATTATCTTTCTCATTTGATTAAGTGTTTATCATGTCTCCTTGTACATTCCGAAAGGGCAGAGTCTTGTCTTATTCACAGCTGTGCCACTCCACCTAGAACAGCATCAGGCTTCACAATTATTTGTTGAATGAACTGATGATAAATATTCATCCAATTGAAATTGGGAGTCTGCATCTCCTGCATTCAAACATTACAACTGCTCTTGTGTGGTTCTAATTACCACATCCATCAAACTCTTCAATCTTTACCTTATGAGACCTACCCTATGCATTTACTCTCTGACCACTCTCTACTTCTTGAAACTCCTTCATTCCTCAACTTCTCTGATGCCTCAGTTTCCCATCCATTCTGGAAACATGGGATTCCTCAGGGTGCTAATCTGAGTCTTCTTCTATCCTTACTCTCTCCTGAAATCATTTTATCTAACCCATGTCTTTACCGACAACTTCAAGTCCTTATTGATAGCCTTGACCTCTCACCAGAATCCCACTCTCCTTCATCTGATTATGGTTATCTTTATCTGAATGTCCCCAAACACCTCTAACTCAGTATGTCCAGCCTATCAACCCAGTATCACAAAACCAACACTCTACCCTATACATACACACACCTGTTCTTCCTCTAGGGCTCCTGGACCTCCTTTGCTAATATTTCTCACATGTTCTATCAGACCGTTAGGGGAGCGGATCATGGAGGGCCTTGTAGCACAGATTTAGGAGACTGGGTAGGTGGGGCTTTGAAGAGTTTTAAGTAAGCAAGGGTTTTAGATTTTCATTTGTAAAAAAGTGCAATGGCTTCTATGTAGAGATTAAATTGTAGGATTTAAAAATGAGGCAGGGAGACCAATCAGTAACAATAGTTTTCTATGTGCCAGGCATTGTTCTAGAGGCTTTACATACATTAACTCGTTTTTAAATCTCACAATAATCCTATGAGGTAGATTACCCATTTTAAAATTGAGGAAGTTGAGACACAGTGAAATTAATTAACTTAGTCAAGGTCACACACTGCTACTATATGGCTGACCTGAAATTTGAACCCTAGCAGTCATCTGCAATTCCATTCTATTAACCACATCATTATATTGTCTCCTGGTTAAGGCACAGCAGAGAAACTGGGGTGAGATCATGAGGGACTGGAAGAGGGGATAGAGTCAACTGATTTTAAGGAGGCAGAACAAGCAAACTTTGGAGCCTGGATGTAGAAGATAGAGTGGGAGGAACTGGGAGGAGGTCCTATATCTGGGTTGGCTGATTCAGAGGGAGGGTGGTGCCAGGATGAAAAGCAATCATCTCAGAGAATCCACACCCCACTGAGAAGCTTGCCTTAGATGGAAAATGGGCTGCATCTCAGTGTCTAAGACAGATATGAGCCCAGATCAGGCTTGACTAGCCTGAGGGAGATTACTGAGAGTACAGCTATGTGATGGGGATCAGAGGAGAAACATTTGGGGGGTCCCAGATCCTGGAGTTAAATAAGGAGTAACACTGTCTTATGTCTCTACCCCTATGACCAAGCAGACAAATGCAACCCAAACTACCTGTGCAGTGACCCATATAACACGTGGAGGACAAAACCTTACAACTGCACCAGCTGGAACAAACATACTACATATCTTCCCCGGCTGCCTAAGGTATCTACTGTGCCCAGCACAGATGCCCAGGGTCTGGGACACACATCCCTTCTGCCTCACAAACCACAGTGACTCATATTTCACCATTAGTTCATCATCCCTTTCCCACCAATAATGTTCCAAGGCTCTTTCCCATGTGTGAAAGTTTGTATTTTCTAGGAGACAAGGGAGCACGAGAGTGGAGCTGTGCTGGGCTCCTGGGCCCCAAACTCTAGCCCTGCTCTGTGGGGACATGGCTAGTGTGCACTCTTTGACATATACCTTCCTGAAGCTTGCCACCTGGCCCCTTCTCATATGGTGGGGCCAAGGAGTCAGTGGTAGGCTGAGTCTACCTGCTCTACTCTCTCCTCCTTTGTAATGTGGGAGCAAGGACAAAAGGAGGGAGAACAAGGCCACCCAGAGGCAGTGCCAGTAGAAATAGGAGAGTCTTCCAAGGAGATAGGAAGGAGTCCAGTTGTAGCCACAGGGCCTGAGAGAAGAGGGAATGTGAGAGGAGCTGAGGCCAGGGCAGGGATTCTTAACTGGTTGACCTCAGTTTGACTGAACCCTTCTGAATCATAACTTCTTCAAGAATTAGAAATTTTCACAAGTTCCCAGGTGATTGTAAAGGGCAGGCCATGTTGCAATATTGAAAACCACTATTAGAGAGACACCAAGACACACGGCTACTGTCAGCTGGACAAAGACGGGGGGAAATCAAGGGTTAACGCTGAGGCAGGGTTGTCAGAGGCCCAGGTCCAGACAGGGTCCACTTACAGCTCCACTTCCTCCCCTCCCCGCCAACCCCGTGTAGACAGAAAGGCGTTGCCCAGTAACATCCCCAAACACTCAGAGCCTGGGAAAGCTGGGGAGCATCTGGAGGGCGGGGGAAGGCGCGGCCTGGGACTGGCCTGGGTGTTTCGGGAGGACCCCCCAAAGAAGGAAATCTTCCGGGTCAGAGCTTGAGGTAGCGTGTGTCACTTCCAGGAGGCCGGAATGGAGACAGTAGTTCGAGGAATGCCCTTGGAGTACCCTCCTAAGCCGGAGCGACTCAATGCCTACGGTAACGGAAGGTGGGGCGGGAAGAGAACGGGTACCGGGGAATCAGGTTCTGGGGGCGAGGCAGAGGCCGATGCTCCTGGAGAGGATGTAACCCTGTCTGTAGACACAGTCTGCCCCTGTTTTTGTCTCCATCTCTTCCTAACTCTGACCCTGTCTCTTCCCATTCCTGTGACTCTGTGTCTGGATCTCCCGGGCTCGGGGCCTGCGGGCGCAGAGCGCGAGGTGGTGGTGAACATGCTGAACTCACTGTCGCGGAACCAACCGCAGATCACGCCCCGCTGCGGGTGTGCGGACCCGCTGCCGGGCCGCCTGCCCTTTCAGGGCTATGAAAGCGCTTGCTCCGGCCGACACTACTGTCTGCGTGGGATGGACTACTACGCCACCGGGCTGCCCGGCACCGAACGCCGCCTACGGCCTCCGTGCGCACAGCAGCCAACTGTAAGGTTCGCAGGTCACACGTGGTTCCTCAGCCGGGGCCCGCCCCGCCCCCAAACAAGCCCCGCCCCAGTGTCAGCCCGCGCCCTGCGGCGGGCTTCTGGTCGCGCGCACCTTCAAGCCCCGCCCTGCCCTGTGACCCCACCCAGCTCTATCCGCCTACTCGGCCTCGTCCGGGCCGGCCCTCGGGCCCCGGGGCAGGAGCAGACCGCCGAGCGGGAGAGCCTGCGCGATTTCCCCGAGTTCCCGACCCTATCTCAAGGCCAACCTGGCTCCTATATCTGGTCTGGAGGCCCAGCCGGACAGTGTTCCTTCGTTTGTGGAAGAAACCCCGCTCACCAGTCGCATCCCCTTCCCACGCTCGCCGACCCACTCCCTACCTGAATACCAGACCCTGGATAAGGAGCTTCTAGCCTGCTGAGTGCCGTATGTTCTCAGAAAAGTCTCCTTTATTCCTGGGTCCTGGGCCACTGTCGGTAATAGGCGGGGCCATTGCCGGGCGCTAAGTGAAAAGGAAATGGGGACCGCACCACCAGAGGCACTGACCTCTTCAGAGGCCCACACCATCTCCGGAGGCAGAAAGCCTCACAGAGGAAACTGAGGCCTGAACTCTCGGCCGCAGCCCAGCCGCCTTCTCCCAGCACTCGGCGGCAGACAAGGCAGGCTGTGCCGGAGGAAATTCCAATATCCGCGTCAGTCCAGAGAGCTGTGAAGGGCGATGGGGGAGGTGGACGGAGGTCTCCTGAACCCTGCCCCTAACCCCGTGGTGATCCCTCCCCTTCCCAGGCAGAAACCTGATTAATTGTTCAAGACAAGGGTAAGAGGGAGCGAGAAAGTACCCAAGCCTCAGAAACCTGTTGCCTCACCGGTAGTGCTGGAGTAATTGCCGTCCCATGGCGAGGATCTGGGGACTCCCAGGTCCTCAACGACTAGAGCCCAACCCTCCCCAGAGTCCAATGCGCTGCACTGCCCTGCCTGGGCGGCAGAAACGAGGCCGGCAGAAAGGAGGCCTAATGGGGAAGAGGACTTCCCTGTGTGTTCCCAGAAACTTCGATGGGGTATTGAAGGGTCAGGATGCCGGAGGGCAGGATCTCCCAGCCGTAGGACTGACATCTGAAGCGCCGTTCAGCGTTTTAATCTGGGTCTTAAAGCGAAAAGAGAAATCAAAAGACCCAACCCCAACTGCCCACCGCTTCTTCCTCCAGGAGTGTATCGCCCTACGAGCACCGGCCCGGAATGCAGTGTGCTGTTATAACTCCCCCGCCGTCATACTGCCCTTCTCCAAACCTTAGGTAAGTCTGGCCCAAACACGTGCAAACACGCGCCCAGGGTAGGCTGTCTTCTGCCGCGCCAAGGGTTCCGGGCTTAGTCGGGCTGGGAACTGTCCGCTGCGACGCACTGACAGGAAGATGCCACCAGGGCGTGCTAGTGCCGTGAGGACGTCAAAGCTGGCAATGAAATGGAGGATCCCATGACAACCCGTGGAGGCCAGCCTTGAGGGGTTACAGGTTGGCAATGGGCTTGAGTCAAGAGATCAGGACCTTAGGCTCAGGGCTTGATGTAAAGAGTAAGACGTCAATGTTGGGAACGGGTATTACGGTTAAGAAATTTAACAGTAGAACCTGAGGTCAGGAGGTAAGTGTTGAAGCATAGATCAGTGTTAGGGGCAAAATGTTGGGATAAAGTCAGCATTGAGAATTGGAATCAAAACATATGAGGGTCCTAAAGCGCTGACCCACCTCTCCCCACAGATGGCTCACAAGCCATTTCAAGAAGACCAGTGGTCCCAGAGAAACAACTATGTAGTCCACCCTGAGTTTGTGTCTGAAACCTATCCTGACTACTGCTGATGGTAGAGCCTGGGATGGCAGGGCCAAAGGGCTGAGCAATAAATAAACTCTTCACCGCAAAGGCTGCCTCCTGTGTCCTTACCCAGCAAGATCTGACACTGTGAAGATGGCCTCTGCCAAGTCCCCTCAACTGATGTGCAATTTCTGTCATCCTGCCCTGGGCCCTTCCCACCCCCATCATCTCAGTACTTCCCTCCTGACCCATTAACAGTAGACCTATATTCAGTTGGTATCCTCCCTCAACCCCCGAGTCCAAACTAATGCGTCCACCTACTCATGCAGGGAAGGTCTTATCTAGCTCCCACCCTCAGAGAGCCCTCCAGCTGACATTTCCCTCAAATCTCTCAAACCTTGATGTCCCCTTTCCCCCATCTTAGTAGACCCAGAATCCTCCATTCCTCAGTCAGATGCCTGTTCCTATACCCAAAGGTTTTGCCACCAGAGCCCCACCAAAAAGCCTATGTTCAGACACTCTTGCTGCCCTCTGCCACCCAAGTCCTAGGGGTCTAAAAAATCATTTTGAAGGATTTCATGACCAAGAAATTTAAAATTACAAAACAAAACCCTGTTTCTCTGTCCCTCTGGGAGCACAGGGTGGGGTGTTGCAGAATCTCTGGGATCTTCAATATTTTTGCACTCCACTGCTCCAGGGGGCAGGGGTACAGCAGAGCATGTCCATCTCACAGTAAGGGCATTTCTAACGGATGCCACTACCGAAGTGGGGAGTGGGGGTGGAGGGGCAAGGGAGCATTGCAAAATATCCAGCAGAAGCTGGTCTTCTCAGTCCCTGACCTCGGTCACTACTGGTTGGTCCGACAGTTTGGGCTTCCCGCCTGGTGGAACTAGACTCCCTCTGTGGGGTCCTTGACTGAGTCAGCCCTGTACTGAGCCACTGAGATCTTTCCCGTATTCTGCTACCCTTTTTCCGTATGGGAAAACTTTTTCCGTATGAAGAGCTAGTGTGAGCGTTACACCTGCCCAAATCTGGAGCGGAAGGAATCCCAAGGGCCAACTCTGCCCTTTAACCTGCGGCTTGCTGCTTCTCACATATATCCCAAAATTAGCCTAGAGGCGCAAGAACTCCAACATCCACAGCTGCTCCTTCCTCCAAAACTACATTTCCCAGAAGGCGAGTGCTGGTAAACAAGAGGCCAGTGTGGGCGGGCCTGCAGGCGGGAGGCGGAGTGTCCCGCTGGCGGCAGACCTGAGGTGCCCTGAGCCGGGCACACAGCAGGAGGTGGAAGGTGGTGGCTAAAGGGCGGGGCCTCGAGTCCGCGTGACGGTATGGGAGGAGGGGTCAGCTGCCAGAGGCGGGGCTGGACTCCGAGGCCAGAGGCGAGACAGAACGGCCGGGGCGTGGCCGAGCAGCCAGAGGGCGGGGCCCGAGGAGGGCCTCAGCTATACTCGGCTGGGAAGCGCCCCGCGCGGCGCGGTCGCTGCGCAGCCCCGGCTAGCGTGAGGGGGATCTGCAGGAGCCTCCCTTCACCGCCACTTCTGGGGTCAGTACCGTGAGTGAGCCCAGCGGGAGGACCTTGGGGGGTTACTTAGGAAGCACACTTCGTAACTTTGGCTCCTACAGATAAGTAGGGTGGGCGAGCTTGGACACCTGGGCTCCTCCTTGGGCCGCGGTTCCTAGCGAGTGACCTGCACTTTGACCTCAGTCTGTCCCTTCGTACGTTGTAGCTGTAGCGCCAGGGGTGGGTGTGGAGTATTCCAGGCTGTTAAGTGCAGTCACTCGATCCCACAGATCCCGTCGCTGGGCTGGGCAGAACAGGGAGATGGGCCGGATTGAGTTGTCTTTGACATTTCCACCTCCCCGAGGAACCGTGTTAGACAAACGATTCAGCTTGCAATGGTCTTCCCTCAGCTGGGCCGGACCGCACCCTACCCCTCAGATCCTACTAGAAGCTGGCAGCCAAGACTGAGGTTGAGTAGCAAACGGGGAGAGGCTCGACTGTGGCAGATCCACCTGCCAGCATTAGCCTATGGTTGGCCAGATGGCAGTAGGCACCAGATTACTGGGGTCTCTAGCAGAACCGTTAACACTGGAACCACAAGTTCCTCCCCCGCAGCCCCAGAACCACTTGCCATTAAAATTACCCGCTTTTCACCGGCAAGAAACATTCCCAGAACAAACAGCAGCACCAGCCCTTGGGAAGACAGACCTCACCATGCCCACCCACCCCCACCTGGTAGAAGCCTGTCCCATCCTCTTGGCCACAGAGCTCTTTTCCTCTGTTGCCTTCAGACAGCCAGTCAGACCATTATCTCTCATCTCTTAATATTTATGCTGGGGACAGTTAAGCTGGAATTTGGGGTTCAGGCAGCCTTGCTACCTGGGTGACTTGAAACAAGTCCCTTTTACTGTTTGAGCCACTGTTTGCTCATCTGTAAAATGGACACTCTAGCTATGCTCCCTCTTTGGCATTATTGTTAGGGTTGGATACTGTGGTCACATTTGGGAGAACAGCACAGGGCATGCATGGAGTTGGTGCCCAGCCCTGTGGGCTCCTATCCTTCATCAAAGGACCTTGGAATCCTAGGAAGTTAAGATTGCCTAAGTGTTGGAAAGGGCTTTTGAGGTCACCTTGGTGCCCTCTTCATGGTTCCAAGGGTCATGAGATGGACTGACTTAAGATGAAAGTTTTGAGGATGAGGGGATCTCTGTCCTATTCAGATATGGACCCTTTCCCCTTATTCCCTAGGTGCCCAGAATGGAGCCTCATTGTCTTGAATGAACGGATATACATGTACAGCAAATCTGGTCTGGGTCACTTAATGCCTTCTTTAGGCTCTGCTTAGCTTGAGGACATGAGCTAAAGACTACTGCCTGCATTTTTCAGGAGGGCTTTTTAACTATAGGAAGTAGAGTCCATTGTGGGGTGGGGGTTTTTGAAAGCTAAATTGTGTGGGATGACAGGAAGGGAATAAGGGGTTGTTCCCGACCAGTTGGAACTGACCACTCCGCGAGTTGGGGAGAGGGGGCATGGAGAATGAGACCCTGAGACAGCATCTCCAGGGTGGGGACAGTGGGGAGGCATTCTGGGGGGCTGTATATTGACATCTAAGATCAAAATTCTGGTCTGCCCTGCATTCCTGATAGTCTTTACATGGGAGAGGTGGGAAAGGTGGGGACTGTGAGCAGTTCTGGAATCTCCATGGAAGTTGCTGGGGACTTGGAGACAGACACTGGCACCTGAAAGAAGGCTACTGTTTGCCAGTCTCCCTCTCTCCTTCCCCCCATCTGCAGCAGGTGAGCATCTGACTAGCTGGCAGTGTGTTTGTCTGTGTTTGTACCTAGCTAGAGCTATCTCTTTGTTGGATTCTGCCCTGAGGGCTGGGACAGGAAGGGCCAATGGCCTTGAGCAGCAGATTGGGACATATCTCCCCCTGTTTCCCTGCAGTCATACCTGGATGTTTAGCATACCATGTGTGAGAATGTATGTATGTAGTAGGGGTTATTGGCTCCCTGGTAGATCCAGGAGAGATGCCAGCCCGAGGTGAGTGAGTAAAATTTCCTCAAGCAGGTGGCTGAAGGATTTAGGTTAGGGAAGGATTGATTTTGGTAGTCACAGAATAAGCCTGGCTGGAATAGAAGCAGAAAAGCAGATGAGACCATGTCATGCTTGAGCCTTGCTTGCAAAGCTTGTACTTCTGAACTTCATCATTGGGGTCATGAGCAGCTCTCAAAATGAGGGACAGATGTAGTCTGATAAGTTCTTAGAAAGATCACTATGGTTGCTGTAAGCAGAAGGCATTGTGGGAAAATTGGGAGCAGTGAGGCCTATTGGGAAAGTGTTGCAATAATACAGGGGAGAAATGACAGTGCCCAAACTAGGGCAGGGCAGCAGGACAGTGGGTGTGTGGTAGAGATAAAGCCAGAAGGTACCTGGCCCACACATGTGGTGCTGGGAGCAAAGCAGGTAGGTGGGCAGGGAAATGGATTTGGTGATGGATGTCTGAGATCAGGGTGGAATTTGAGACTGAAGAGAGGGAAATCTGAGAAGCCATCATAGTCCCCATGTGAGGCTCCTGACTCCAACTCTAATGTCCAAATCTAACCCTGCCTCCCTCCAAACCAGAGCCTAGGACTGAGTCTGGCTTTGGGTAACTCATCTCCAGATTTAATCCCCTGTCTGAGCTGTTCCCCTTCCTTTCTCCTCTTCCCTTCCAGGAACAGGGAAACCAGCCTACTGCCCTGTTAAAGGTCATAAATTGCTGTCTGGATTATCCCCCATCTCCCACCAGGAGCACATTTCTGGGAAACCAGTCCCTCTCCAAATCCCTCCCCTTCTTTTCAGCCTGAACTGTCTCCATGTGTGATCCAGGGAGGCCTGATTCTGTGCTCCTGGACAGCTCCCTGACCCTGTCTGGGTTTGTTCCTCCACCAAGAAAATAGGGATGCATGCCATCTGCTGCTCCCTATTCAGAATCCTGACTTATTTTGGCATGCACTGAGGCCCATATGAAAGGGTGAGTAAAAAACAGATTTGCCCTGGTATACCCCTTCCCAAGGCACACACCTCTTCTTTCTTGCTGCAGCAAGTGGAAATACAATGGAATGAGAAAGTTCATTTCATGTCTTTCTTCCCGTTCCACACTCAGGCAGGCCAGGTTCAGAGGGGCTTTGTCGGGTGGCCCAACTGCCCCCGCTCCTTCCTTAACTGGGGGCTGATGCCCCAGAATCTTCAGGAGAAGAGCCAGGCTTATCCCCACCGTCGGTCTGGGAGCCACAAGGGCACTAAGAGCCCCAAGACCACCACAGCAGCAGCCATGTACACCTTCCTGCCTGACAACTTCTCACCTGCCAAGCCCAAGCCATCCAAAGAGGTGAAGCCACTGCTGGGCTCTGCGGTGCTTGGGGGGCTGCTGGTGCTGGCTGCAGTGGTGGCCTGGTGCTACTACAGCGCCTCTCTACGCAAAGCTGAACACTTACGTGCCGAGTTGCTGGACCTCAACCGCGGTGGTTTCTCCATCCGCAACCAAAAGGGCGAACAGGTCTTCCGCCTGGCCTTCCGCTCGGGCACGCTGGACCTCGATTCCTGCAGCCGTGATGGTGCCCTGCTTGGCTGCTCTCGCACAGCCGATGGACGACCCCTGCACTTCTTCATCCAGACTGTGAGGCCCAAGGACACAGTCATGTGCTACCGTGTCCGCTGGGAGGAGGCGGCACCCGGGCGGGCTGTGGAGCACGCCATGTTCTTGGGCGACGCAGCGGCGCACTGGTACGGCGGTGCCGAGATGAGGACCCAGCACTGGCCCATCCGTCTGGACGGCCAGCAAGAGCCCCAGCCCTTTGTCACCAGCGATGTCTTCTCCTCCAATGCTGCATTTGGAGGCATACTCGAGCGCTACTGGCTGTCATCTCGCGCGGCTGCCATCAAGGTAAACGACTCAGTGCCCTTCCACCTGGGCTGGAACAGTACGGAGCGCTCACTGCGGCTGCAGGCCCGCTACCACGATACGCCCTACAAGCCGCCCGAAGGCCGCACTGCTGCGCCTGAGCTCAGCTACCGCGTGTGCGTCGGCTCGGATGTCACCTCCATCCACAAGTACATGGTGCGGCGCTATTTCAACAAGCCGTCAAGGGTGCCAGCACCTGAGGCCTTCCGGGACCCCATCTGGTCCACGTGGGTGCTGTACGGGCGCGAGGTGGACCAGGACAAGGTGCAGCGTTTTGCTGAGCAGATTCGCCAGCACCGCTTCAACAGCAGCCATCTGGAAATCGACGACATGTACACACCTGCCTATGGCGACTTCGACTTTGATGAGGCCAAGTTCCCCAACGCCAGCGACATGTTCCACCGCTTACGTGCCACCGGCTTTCGCGTCACGCTCTGGGTGCACCCATTTGTCAACTACAACTCTTCGCTCTTTGGCGAGGGCGTGGAGCGTGAGCTGTTCGTGAGAGAACCCACCGGCCGGCTGCCTGCGCTTGTGCGCTGGTGGAATGGCATCGGCGCTGTGCTCGACTTCACACGCCCCGAGGCCCGCGACTGGTTCCAGGGGCACCTGCGGCGGCTGCGCTCACGCTATGCTGTGGTTTCCTTTAAGTTCGACGCCGGCGAGGTCAGCTATTTGCCACGGGACTTCAGCACCTACAGGCCGCTGTCCGACCCCAGCGTGTGGAGCCGGCGCTACACCGAGATGGCGCTGCCCTTTTTCTCGCTGGCCGAGGTCCGCGTGGGCTACCAGTCACAGAACATCTCGTGCTTCTTCCGCCTGGTGGACCGCGATTCCGTATGGGGCTACGACCTGGGACTGCGCTCGCTCATCCCCGCGGTGCTCACCGTCAGCATGCTGGGCTACCCATTCATCCTGCCGGATATGGTGGGTGGCAACGCGGTGCCTGAGCGCACAGCTGGTGGCGGCGACGTGCCAGAGCGCGAGCTCTACGTGCGCTGGCTGGAGGTGGCTGCCTTCATGCCCGCTATGCAGTTCTCAGTCCCACCCTGGCGATACGATGTTGAGGTGGTCGCTATCGCTCACAAGTTCGCTGCACTGAGGGCATCGCTGGTGGCACCGCTATTGCTGGAGCTGGCCGGTGAGGTCACTGACACGGGCGACCCCATTGTGCGCCCCCTCTGGTGGATCGCGCCTGGCGATGAGACCGCGCACCGCATCGACTCGCAGTTCCTTATCGGAGACACGCTGCTGGTGGCTCCCGTACTGGAGCCGGGCAAGCAGGAGCGGGACGTCTATCTGCCTGCGGGCAAGTGGCGCAGCTATAAGGGTGAGCTTTTTGACAAGGCACCGGTGCTACTCACCGATTACCCCGTCGACCTGGACGAGGTTGCTTACTTCATCTGGGCATCCTGACCCAGCCAAGGACCTAGGAACTTCACAACCCTAACCCCATTCTTCAAGCAGGTCTTTAACCTCCATCACAACCACCCTGCAGGAAGTCTCCACCTCTTTACCACCCACTAAGTGGGTGCTGATGTCAGTGTGCTCAGAGCCAGCGCCTGTAGGGCCAGGGGAGGGGGCAGTGAAGCACCTCCACTCCACCGCACATTCCAACACCCCCGTTCCCTCCACAGTCACCCCAGCCTGCAGAAAACCTCTTCCTTGGGATGGAGGTGAGAGAGCTCAAAGGAAAAGATAAGCTCTATTCCTGTTACACAGGGTTGGGTTTTGAAAGCACAAAGAGAAACCTCACCCTCCATCTTGGCCTGAGCGGCCATCTTTGTCCTTCAGAGATGGGAACTTGATCCTCTTTAAGGTCCCAAAATAGCTCCCTGCCACACTTAGAAAGGGCACATTCTTGGTGTTGAAAGCCAGGCCCTGAGTTCCCAGCACTGGCCTGAACTGTGGTTGACCTGGTCCCACCTCAGCAGGGGAGAAAGGATGGAGGTGCTCTGCCAACTGAGAAGGCAGAAGGTCCCCTTCCAGGGGGAAGGAGTGGGACCAGCCAGAGCCATCATCATTGTTCCTCATTTATGAAGAGACTTCTAACACTGCACTTACCCACCCATCTGTGTACACACATGGGCTTAGCCCTGGGCCGGGGCCAGGGCCATAGCCTGATGGTCAAGGACTTGTAAGACCAAGCAGGCCAGACTTGGTGCCTTACCTCAAGAACCTGGGTGTGTGTGTGTGTGAGAGAGAGAGAGAGGTGGGGGGACGCCATGTGTCCCTGGATCTACAAAACGAACACAAGACTGCTGAGGCTGGCTGAGCCTGGAGGGAAGGAGGCAGGGGGCAGGGAGCAAATCTGAGGCTTTGATTATTGAGCTGGCCCCCTCCCAGGTGATGTCCCTGGGACCCTAGTAGGAAATAAACAGCCCTTTCAAGACTCCTTAGCTGCCCCACTCCCTGCACACATGGCAAGGGTGTGACCTAAAAGGGAGTTATGTTCTTGTTCTGGTGGTGATGTGCTTTAGCACATGAACTACATGTGCACATCGACACCTGTAAATACTCATACTGGGTAAGGTTTTTTCATTTCAGTCATTTTCCCTTTCTAAGAAGAGCAATCTCAGCCAGAGTGAGTTCTGCTGACTTTGCTGCTGAGTCTGGGGAAGGATTGGCTTGCCAGAGAGGGGAGGTGGGAAACAGGGCAGGGCTCAGCTTCCCTCAACAGCCCGGATGGCAGTCCCTCACCCTCTAGAGAATGCATCCCTTTGCCCACTCCTCCCTGCTCTATTTTCTACATGAAGAATGCCTAATGAAAGTTTGGGCACTCACAGATGCCCATCTCAAAGTGCTGATTCTACCACTTATCTACAAGCTGTGTGACCTTGAGCAAGCTGCTTAACCTTGTTGAGCCTGAGTTTTCACATATGTAAAATGGGATAATAATGCCTACCTCCCAGGTTGTTGTGGGAATCATAAGCACAGATGTGTGTAAAGTGCCTGGCACAAGTAGGTGCTCAATAAAAGGTAGCTATTATAATACTGTTTATTTTTTTATCTTACTTAAAAATGGGGATTTTTCCAGGCTCCAGCTCCCAGCCCAACTGGCTTCCCCTAGGCCTCCCTGTGACACCTTTTCCCCAAACGTCTGCACATAGCACCCTGCTGAGCTCTGAGTTTGTGATCTGAAGGACACTGTGGTCTAAGGGAAAGGAAAGAGGAAAGGTATCTGAAGGTGTGAAATCACGAGCCAGGACTCCTGGGTCCCCAGGACATGGGGAGTAAATGAATTAGCTTTCCACTCCATTTTGTCAAGAGTATCTACCAATCCTACTTGCCCAACGCCCACCCCCCCATGCCTGCCAGCACTTCTTGTGCATTCCAACTTTATCTCTTTCTGCACATCTGGATTGGGGGGCTGACCCTCCTCCATGGAGCTCCAGCAGCCCTGTTATGACCAGAATCCCTCATTGGTCTCCACTGTACCCCTAGGCTGCTGGGGGAGCCCTGGTATGCAGGACTGGGGAACTCCCTTTTCCAGAGGAAATTGGGAGGGGCTGAGCAGTCACTGCAGGAAATCTGGAACTGGGGCCTTATGTCCCTATTCTGTAACCCTGTGCACCCTGAGAGTTTGCCTCAATTTCCTTTCCAGACTGTATGAATCAGTCCTCTCTCTATGCCCAAGATGAGTTTTCTGAGGGTCTTTGCCTTTGTTCCCCCAGATTTGGGTAAGGGTCTCTCACCCTGCCTGGCACCAGAGTAAGACTTCTGCTGGTTCCCTCACCAAGCTTCCTGGTCCCTTGCCCCCTCCTCAAATCCAAGACCAATGTTGACCTCCCCATCTTCTGCTACTGCCCCACATCAGACCTTAGCAGTTCTAGCCTGGGCCGTTGCAGTGGCCTCCTAACTCTTTCTGCTCTTGGATCCTTCAACCCAGTCCACACAGCAGCCAAGGAAATCTTTCTGACACACATTCAGTTGTGTCACTTAGGAAAAAATCCCAACTCTGGTGTTCAAGGCCTCGCAGATCTGAATCCTCCTCACTCCTCTGTTTCTGTTTTGTTCACACACACATACTTCCCAGCATATTCTGAAAAGTGTTTGAAGAAATACTACTTCCTGTTATGAGAATGACTGCACAGCCCATCCCTGCCAGGGGAGGCCACCAGGAACCAGCCCTGAAGAATACTGCAATGACAACTTGGTGATTTCCTTTCCTGCCATTGTCCAACTCAGTGGGACTTCTGCTGATACCGTCCTCTCGGGGACGCACCCCAGCTCCCAAGGAACAACCTGGTTTTTATTCTAAGGCTAACCATTTACTTCATCATGTCCAAGGATCTTTCCAGCAGCTTGAGGGGAGGGGAAAATTCTTTTCTACGTATTTCACCATTTTAAAGGAACATAGGGGGAAACAGAGGTTAAATTCCCTTAAAAAAAAACAAGTGTAATTGACATATCTTAATTTCATAATGCTTTGCTATTTGTTTATACTGCAAAATGATCACCACAGTAAATCCAGTTCACACTCATCACCATACAGTTACAAGAACTTTTTTTCTTTTTGGTAATGAGAACATCCGAGATCTCCCTTAGCTGCTTTCAAATATGCAACACAGTATTAACTATAGTCACCAGGCTGTACATTACATCCCATGACATTCATTTTACAACTGGAAATTTGTCCCTTTTCACTCCCTTCACCCAATGGGGGATGGGAAAATTCTTGGCATTATGTGGCAAGCCCCCAATTTGGCTGTGGTGGAGTTGGGGGAGGAATGGAAAAAGATAGGATAGGAAGAGGCCTATCCCTGAGAGTTCCCAGTCTGAAGATTAGGAAGAGGTGGTGCCTCTGAACTTTGTAGCCTTGTGCTGTTTTTCCCTCCCTAACTCCCTTTCCCCTCCCCAGGGAATCCAGTTGAGAACTCCTTATTACTCAATCCTGAGCAGGGGGTGGAATGAGAGGGGAAGGAAAACAAAAGTGGGGAGGGGTCGGGGAGAGGCAGAGAGCAGGCCTCACTGGACTCTTGTAGCACAGCTTCATGGAGGCAGCAGTGGGGCTGGCCCACCATCCTCCAGAAAGAAGGGACAGTGGGCCACAGGCTGGACAGATGGAGAAGTCAGCCTCTGCTACCTAAACATGGGGACCCACCTGGGGTCCCATACCTGCACATGTATTCCAGTTGAAATTCTACCAAAACTACCATTATAACTTCATTCTCTTGGGTCTTCCAATTCAGCAAACAAGTTCCTAGTGTTAGAGTGTAAGGTATTGCTTTTGGGGTTCCAGAGGGCATTTTGGTTTTCCAGAGTCTTTACTAAATGCCCCAGAAGGCAATTTAAGATTACCCTGGAAGGGATATGTCTACTAGGTGCTCCTGGGGAAAACAGGTTGAGTTCCAAGAGGAACCTCTTTGGGGAGGTTGGGAGAACAGTGTTCACGGAATGGGTAGTTACTAGGGAAAGCTTCCAGGAGGAGATGCTCTGGAGCTTGGAGGGCCTCAGATTGAAAGAGCAGCTGGTCTCAACCCCATACGTCAAGCTAGTCAGAGCAAATGGATGTTGATTTGTACTTATGTGTCACATCCCAACCTCAGCTCCACTCTCTCCCACCCTCATCCACATCCCATAACATGCCTGATCCCACTCTGCTGTCAATTCTTTTGCAATTCTGCAGCTAAATACAATTTATGGGGGCATGCCTTCTCCAAATACCCGTGTTTTAATGGAAAAGTCTGTTAAGGCCTAGAGGAATGACTCCAAAGTCATTTGGAATATACAAGATATTCCAGAGCAGTCTTCCCTTTAGCACCTCATCCTTAAAGCACCCCACATATAGGCTGCTGCCAGGGTTGTATACCTTCTTAAGCCTCATTTTCTCCGGCTATAAAAACGAGGAGCATAATCAGGTCATTTTCCAGTCCCTTCCAACTGTGATGTATGAGGTTCTAGCATCTCGAGATCCCACAGCCTCCCATGCTGAGAGCACAAGGCCGGCCAGCCCTTGTTAGGAGGCAGCCAGTCTGTGGTTTGGCACCACTGCCTAGCAGGCATTTATTAAATCAGTGGGATGTGGTCCCTGCTGGCCTGGAAAGAGAACATTAAGCTCCAAAAACTTCCTGCAGCAGGCCTCCTTCAGAGATTGCTACTCAGAGGGGTGAGGAACAAAACCATTCAGGTCCCGGGCAGTGCTCCAAGATCCTGTTCACTAGTATTTTTGCCCTGTCTGCACACAGAACTAGTGACTGAAAACATCTGGAAGCCTGTTTAAGACCTGGGTGACTTCTCTTTTCTTTAGGGGTGGCTGTTCTTAACCCTAGTAATCCAGGTTGACCTTTGCCAATGCCCCTTCCCTTCCAATCTTCTGCACTTCATTGGGTAACAACCTCTAATAAAATCCACATGAATCTAGCTGCTAAAAGCTCCTGGAAGGGCTGTAGGACCTAACACCTGTCCTGCATTCCTTCAGCTCTAGTAGCAAGAGAAGAAGGCGGAGACCCAGCTCTTGCGCCTCTGGGTTGAATTGTGGAGAAAGGGAGTGGGTGGGAAGAGAGAAACAATGATGAGGGCTTGCTAAAGGTGAAGGCAGCTGTAGATGAGGAATGCACAAGTGTAGTGACAGGGCTACTAGGTGGCCAAGCAGTCCCCAAGGCCTGGGCCTGCCTCTTGCCAATGACTTAGTCATGCTGACAAGGCCCAGGCTAACTCTGGGAGGAAGGACTGGGCAGAGAGGCCTGGATGTGTGTATCACTGACCTAGCAGTCAAGGGCCGCCTGTCCCTTCTCTCTCTATTGTGACCTGGCATATCTCCCAAAGTCCCTTGGGTCTCTAATTTTTTAGAAAACATTTATTGAGCACCTACAGCATTATGTGCCTGGTGCTGGGGAGATATACATTAGTAAGCAGAACAGACCCAAAGCCTGCACTCCAGCTTCACTAGCTTTTACTTCCTGTCCAACTATAGATCTCAGTCAGGTACACTGGTGGGTGGAATGAGAGAGCTCGGAGAGCCACCCCGGCAGCTGGATCTCTCATCTAACTCTCTGCCTTAGCTTCTCTGAGATACAGTGCACGGACACAGGATTCCCTCTGGCTAAAGCTGGAGCTCTGATTCACTTTACCTTTCTTCTCCCCATCATGGGCAAAGTCCAAGAAGTAAACACAGGAGGTTAGGACAGATAAGCTGCTTGTAGTTTTATCTATAAAGTAAAAGGATGCATTTACTGGGCCTAGTTTGTTTTTATTTTTTTACTCCTTCTTTGCCTTCCATTCCACCCAGCTGAGATTTTTGTTTGCTAGCCTGACAGTCCTCAGCTAATGTTACTAAACTATCTGTCTTTGCTATGATGAACCAAAGACCAGCACAAACTTCCCCGGAGCTGAAGGAGGGTTCATCTCAGAAGGCCCTCAAGGATCCCACTGAGGCAAATGACTGCTCGGGTCAGCTCAGGCTGCTGTGGAACAGAGAAACTGGTGTCCTTCTTGGAGCACTGCCTTCATCCCCTTGAAATGTGCCAACTGGCAGGCCTCCTCCAGTCCCAGCCAGCGGTAGGCTTGGTGCTCAGGGGAGAGGCGGATGTCCACGTCGTAGTTCTTCACTTCCGCCAGCCAGTAGATGACTGTTTTACGCTTCTCCCTGGCCACATAACTGAGCTCCCTTCTGAACCCCTCAATGATGGTCAGCTGGCCTGCTTCTATGCCTGCTTCCTCCTGTGTCTCCCGCAGGGCTGTTTCCAAGTCATTTTCTCCTGGTTCTGCATGGCCTGGTTAGGACAAAAGAGGAAGAGGAGGAGGAGATAATCTTCAACAAAGCTGGATTTTCCAGGTCAGGTCAGATGATTTAAAGATGAGGTCTTCAGTGACTCTAAATGTTACTAGGCTCAAGGGAGTATAGAGATTGGCCATATCCTAACAAGCCTAGGAATGGAGGGCAGAACAGGTAGTGTCTGGCTCTGTGGTATCTGGGCAATTCCTTCTCCCACCCCATCTTCTCTGCAGAGTGAAACAGATCATGTGTTTGGCAAGTCTGGTCTGGAATACTGCTCTCTGACAGTGAAAGAGACAGCCTCTTTCAGACCTCCGCTTTCTTATTCTTTGGAGCGTGCCTCACCCCATGTTCTCAGGGAGACCTTTCCCTTGGAAACCTTAAAGTGATTTCCCAAGGAGAGGCAGTCCCTTCTTGGCAGGTGGGAGCTAGTAGAAGAGGGGATACTCTGCGTGCAGTGCACAATGAGGACTTGACACTGTCTACAGTCGGTCCCTGCGGTCCCAGGGCCAAAAGACAGCCCCCAAATCCTGCACTGCAGCACCAGCCACTGCTCCCAAGTAGCTATTGAGGCTCTTCCAAATTGTTTTCATCTTTCCAACTAAGCAAGGCCAGACTGCAGTTTCACAGGGAGAGGCCTGATGGGAACTTAAGACGAGGAACAAGCTGTGAGCCAGTTCTAAGAAAATTTGTTGGCAAGACCCAGATTCAAGAAGACAGCTGCCAAGAAACTGTTGCAGGAGAACATGAAGCTCTGCAGACTTAGCTTTGCCTGTAGGCCCTCTCTGCAAATTCTCAGCTCGCCCAGAGGAGCCAAGAAGGATGAGGAGTCCAGCCGCCTCTGTCAACAAATGGCTCCAGCAAGTTGCTGGGGGCCTCCTAGTTCAGCTCACAGAGTGCAGGAATCCTTGATTCGGAGACAGGGCTATATCCTAGCCCTCCTTCTTCCAAGGGGTCCTCACAGCAGTGCACTGAGTCAGCTGCTGCTGCACAGCTCCCACAGAAAGCAACCAGGAGTCTGGACTTACAAACCCATTCTAGCTCATGGCTTCTTGGGAATTTTCTGTATCACACCTCATATAGCCATGTACACAAAACCAGGTAGGTACACATTAGAGGAGGAAGCTCCACCTTCCTTCAGAAGCTTGCAGGCACCTTTAAGCACAACCTTCCCTTAGCATCTATGCAGCGCTCTGCCCATTGGTGTTGACAGGGTTACTGCCCTCCAGGCCAAAGCAGGAAAACATCTAAACAGGTCTTTGGAACCTTTCAGTGAGAGGTACTATGCAGTGCTACTGACTAAGGTGATCAGAAGACAAGTGTGAATATTTCTATTCATAGTATTTATGACACTTCTGTCCTCTTTTTCACCTTGTTTCTCAATAGTGAAACTCAAATGTGCAAAATTTATTTCCCGTTACCATTACCTTGTTTTCCTCCAACCCTGGATCCTTGTTTACCCTGCCCCACCTCATTCCCCTTTAAAGTCCCTTCTGTCTGTGGGCTATTTACTCTAGGCTCCTGACCTGCAGCCCCATGACTCACCCCAAGGTCCCCAATTCCCAGCCCAGTGCCTTTTCTCCTACTGTTCACCAGCTGTTCACCACAGAGGCTGGAGCTCTGGTCAATGGTACAAAAAAACCAGGTGCTGCTTCTGCCCTGGATTCAGTCACAGAGTTCTATTTTCAGCTCTGTTCTGGCCTGGCATGGGGACCTTGTATATAGAAAGGATCAAGGGTTCCTGCCCACCCTGCCCCTTCCTGCTCTACAATCACTGGGAACAAGCCTTGTTAGGGGTCTGGAAGGTGGATTTCTGAGCAACACTTGGCATTTCCCCATGAGCCAGCCCCTCTGGCTTCACACCTTTGGGAGGAGTCCAGTGATGAATGCCATCTGATGCCTGCAGCAGCAAAAACTCAATTGCAGTGCTGTCCACCTTGGGAATGAGGTGTCTTCGGAAGACGATCAAGCCACATGCTCTCAGGGCCATGGTATATCTGAGGACTTAACAAAGAAGAGATATGGAACATTGGGAAGTCACATAAAACAGGAAGACCCATCTTGGGGGACCACACTCTAGTGCTGGGGAGTAGCAGAGACCAGCTAACAGTGACCTCATCACAACAGGAAAAAGGCAGCACGCCAAGGACGAGTGGGGGACCAGCACTCAGAGACGGGCCTTTGTGTGTAACTGCAGGACTTCGCCTCCACCCTGTCAGTGTGCTCTATCTCTTCCTGGTCTCCCTGCTAAAACACGGGACTGGTGTGTGTGTGTTAAGACAGTGGAGATGCTCTGAAGCAAACCCACTGAGACTGGAGAGATGTAGGACAATATTATCATCAAGTCCACAGTCCCACTGCCCTCAGCCTCCAGCCTGGGTCTCTGAAGCAGAGACCCCAACAATGTGGTTACTGATGGCTCAGAGGGGTCACTTAGGAAATGTAGTGTGGTATACTAAAAACTTTTGTGTTACTTTTTTAGTCTTTTATCCATTGGTTGGAATGTTATATATTCACATGGTGCAAAATTCAAAGTACAAAAGAGCACACATAGTAGAAACCCTCTTTCCCACCCAATCAGAGGCCAGCTAGCAGAGTGGTCAAGAGTATGAATCTGGAGTTTTGGCTCTGCCACTTATTCACTGAGTGATTAGCTCCTAAGCCTCAGTTTCCTCATCTGTAAAACAGGATAATAATAGCTCTACTCAAAGGGTTGCTATGAGAATTATGACCTAACTTTTGTAAAGTGCTTTAGAACAGTGCTGGGCATGTAATAAGCACTCAGTAGATTTCAATATGCATAGGACAATGTCTGGAAGGACACACATCATTAATAGTGTTTTCTGGACGAGATTATGGGGAGGCTTTCATTTTCAACTCCGTGTATTTCTGTATCCTCTGGAAATTTGCAGAGCACATTAATTTTATCAGCCATATGGTAAAGGCTAAAATTTTTTTGTCTTTCCCATTTCACTTAGTCTTTCTTCCATTTTGGAAATAAAATATCAACAACAACAGACAGGAAGGGAGAAGAATAGGAATATCTATAGAAGTGGCCAAAAAATCATCATCTGAAAGGAAACATGGAATCAAGATAAAAAAGATGGAAAAGCAGTTATGTAAGGCCCTGCTAAAGAAAAATTTGTGTCACCTGTTCATTTGACATATATTTGTTGACCCTTACTATGTACTAAGTACTGTGCTAGACCTTTGCCCTTATGCAGTTTATATTCTAGTGGGAAAGGCACACTTTAACCAAATAATTAGGCAAATTAAAAAATAATTGCCAGTAAGGTATGTGCTACAAAGAAAAAACGTGTAATGGGTAACCTAACCTCATCTGGGGGCTTAAGGAAGGCTTCCTGGAAGAAGGGATGTTTCGGCAGAGAAGTAAAGGATGAGTAAAAGGTAAACTGGCAAAGGGAAGGAGGAACAAAGTTTGTTGCAGGTGGAGGTAATGGCATGGGCAAAGGTTCTGAGGTGGGATAGCATAACTGAAAGAAAGCCAGGTGTCTTAAGTGCAGTAAAAGTCTGGGAGAGTGGCCTGAGCCAGCAGGACCAAAGAAGGAGCTAATGCAGAGAGGATGACTGGAACAGGAGTTGGTGGTCTCCAGGGCCTCTTTATTGGTGCTCAATCAAGATGAGCTTGCATCTGTCAAAGGCATAAAAATCAGACCCACTGAAACCTGTTCAGGGCAATTCTCAGGGCTGCCAACAAATGGTAATGTTACTCTAGGGAACAGTGGTTTCTTACCAAAAAAACAAACACACCCAGTACTGCAAGCATTCTAAACCTTTCTAAACCTGTAATGTGAGTTTTTAAGGACTGGAAATAATCTCAGAGGGGGTTTTGAAATGGTCTGTGCTCTCCTATACTGTTGGTGGGAAAGTAAATTAGCATATCCCTTAGGAGGGCAATTTGGTAATAATTATCAAAAAACATAAAATGCGCATTCCCTTAGACCCAGCAATTCCATTTCTAGGCACTGTGACATACAGAAATACATGTTTAAGATGTGCACACAAGGATGTGCATCACAACCTTGTTTGCAATATCAAAAAGAAAAAAGGCAGAAACAAATATCCATCGGTATGGGAATGGTTAAGTTTTAAGTACAGCTTATCTATGTGATGGAATATTATGAAGCCATGAAATAATGAGATAGAGTCATATGTGCTGCTGCTTGTGAAAGATTTTTAGACATACTAAGTGAAGAAAGTATGGTTCAGAGTAGTATGTATAATGCTGCTTGACTTTAAAAATTCATATGTAAACTGGTAGCAGGCTTTCCTCAACCACTGTATTCTTCTTCCCTGGTGTCCCTATTTATGCCAAAAAATCTTCCATTCTAGAAGCCAAAAGGAAGCACCCTGTTACTACAGAACTAGTAAACAAAGATTTCAAATTATTGGCTCCAGGTTCAAGCAAAAACAGGTACCTGATCCTATGTCTCCCTATTAAGATGCTCCTACACTATTAGCAAATTATAGGTGTAGGGCACCTTGCCCCCTACCTCAGGTGGAATCCCATCGAATGAATATTGGAAACCCTAGATAAGCATAGGGATGTGAGGCCAGAGTGCACAGTGACCTGCCTAGGATGAGAAGCCCCAGGATATTCCTCCTCGTCTCTGCCATTGTTAATACAGCAGGGGAAACAAAGATGGCTGTATGGGAGGGCTAAGAAAGACAAGTCTTGGGGTGGCCCTGTGGAACCACAGGGGAGAGGGAGGCAGGTGGATATTCTGCTGTGAGGAGGGGCCATGGGTAGTGACAAGGGCACACGTGTGTTCCAGCAGATACCAAAGCACAGGGGCAACCACACCTCAGAACCAGACCACTCAATGCGACCAGAAGAGCTTGAACAAGAGCTAGGATCAAATGGTCACTTTCTACCTATGCTCTGGCCCCTGGAGGGGACAGCCATTCTAAAAAGGCAGAACTATTTGCTCTTTTAATTGCTTGGCTTGAGCTGGCAGTCTCTAGAATTTCTCTCTCCTTTGCCTACATACAACCTCCTACCTACCCTTTCAGAAGCAGCTCAGATGTCACCTCTTCTGTGAAGCCTTTTAGCTTCTTATCACTCCATCTCTGGGCCTTTCACATGGCTTCAATAAACTATTATACAGTTTGATCAGAGAGGCAGAACACTACGAGTGACAGAAAATTAAGCATTTGGTATAGGTATTAGGCCTGTGCAATTATGGAAGTTGATGGAGAAATCCAGGAACCTTTGTCACCTCTGCACCTGCTGGCCTGAAGTTTCTACAGATCAGCAAGGTCAGCAGTTGGGAAGGATAGATGGATGCAAAGTGGAGGACAGCAAAGAAAATGAATCTGAGAACAAATAGGGACCTAGGACAACTGGAACTCATGAGGACACACTGACACCTGCCACTTCCTTTCACTGTCTACAAATGCATTGATACAGATGACTTGCAGGAGAAGTTGGAACCCTCTGTCACAGAGCTGAATGTATACCTGGTCTAGAACTCACAGTAGCTGAAGGAGATTCAGCTGGATTGAGGAACTGCAGGCCTGGGAGCTATCCTACACCAAAAAGGTGAGCCAGCAGAGCAGTGTGAAAAGGTATGCACTGCCACCGTGCCTGGCCCTGCTCTGTCCTCCAGTGTACTGGCTGCTATTTCACTTCAGCTTTCCAAGACTTGCACAATATTTTCTTGAGGTCACCTTAACCTGGAACCATACGGGAACGGAATCCTAGAAAACTTAGTTCCAGTTTAGCTAAGTAGATAGCACAAAGCCACTATGGATGCACACCTAGTATGGTACATCTCTGTCTGTGCCTCTGGCAGGGAGGAGCCAGACTATGTGCTCTGTCTCCCTGGGACCAGCAGAGCTGCTTACAACAGATGTTCATTAACTCAACAGAACTCTCTTCCTACCTCCCACTCAAACAAATGCTCAGGGTAAGTTCTGGGACTTGGGGAAGTAGCCCAGTGTTTTCCTGAAGAGTACAATTTACATAAAAGTCAATGGGGCTATTGTTGGGGGTTTTCTATTTTTGAGGAGACCATGGAGCTGAAGCTGTCCTGGGGTTTCAAAGTAGCTAGCTTCACACACACACACACACACACACACACACACCCCTGGACTGCGCAAGTGGACGGACACACACACACACACACACCCCTGGACTGTGCAAGTGGATGGACACACACACACCCACCCACCCCTGGACTGCGCAAGTGGACGGACACACACACACACACACACACACACACCCCTGGACTGCGCAAGTGGACAGACACGGACACACACACACACACACACACAGACACACACACCTCTGGGCTGCAAGTGGACGGACACACAGACACACACACCTCTGGGCTGCAAGTGGACGGACACACTTGGGACACACACACACACACACACACACACACACACACACACACACACCTGGACTGCAAGTGGATTCAAACCTCAGGGAGTTAAAGAACACAGTATCCAATATGCAAATATGCCTGCAGCCAGTATTGTGGAGATGAGAACTCCAGGCTGACAGCAGGCAATTCACACTTCAGAAAAGTGGCACAGTGCCTTAGGTAGTTTAAAAAAAAGCCTGAATAAAAACCCCTCAACGTCATAAGAAGGTTCCAGAAGCCAAAGAAAAGTGCTCTTGGTGGTCTCTATATATATGCTTCTCTTACAGCCTGGGAGGTTCAGGACCTAAGTGCCAAAAAATAATTCACAGATAAATGCCTATACTAATGTGTTATGTTCCAATGTTTTCATCAAATTAATCAGAGTGCTATTGCAAGCATAGCTCAACCCCAAAAGCCCTCACAAATATACCGTTAGATATTGTATGAGCCCCTCAAATACTCCCCCCAACTTGTGCCTCATAGTCTAAAATCTCTTTTGCAGAGTGTTTCATGCCACCATGTTATGAATTAAGCATCTACACTGTGTCAGCTACACTGTGGAAGGTTGTTTACATATTTCTTTTTTAATGCTTAAGACAACTCCTCAGGATAAGCATTACTATCTCCAGTTTATGATGAGAAAATTGAGATTCAAAAAGGCTAAAATACATGCCCAAAGGCAGTCTGTGAATGGTGGGATTTGAATCCAAGTAAGTTTAACTCCAAAGTCTATATGCATTTCCCCTTCTAAAGTTCTGCTTTCCATGAAGAGTGTGGCTTAGGGCAGAGCACAAATGGCCCTGTAAGAGGACATGTAAATGATTTATAAAATTACTTCCAGGTCCAAAATTCCTAGTCTTTGATGTGTATTCACATGGAAGATTTTTAAGAGATCTGGTTGGAATCCTTTCCAGAGAACAGGTTTTAGTTGGAAGGGGGTGCAGATAAAGGTTTGGTGCCCAAAGATAACTCTGGGGTGGGGGATAAAGTATAGCCTGAGGCCCCTAAAGTTTGCCATGATAAAAGTTTCTATGCCTCCTCTTTTTTTCTGGGGAAAGGAACCTAAAACCACATGTTCAAAACTTTTCCCAGTAGCCTGGGGGTTCCCAAGCACTAAGTGTTGTGAACCCCCTGGACACTAGCCTTTGACAAGCACAAAAGCACCTAACTTAGGGCATCCATGTCCAGGAAATTTGTCCAGGCTCTATTGGGAGGAGGAAGGCCAACTCTGACTTCTCAGCTTTCCCTTTCTCCCCATATCAAACCTCCGATTCTCCAACTCCCTTCTTCCCTTTCAAAGGAGTGGACAGAAATGAGGCACCCGTCCATGAAGAAAGCCCTCTTGTAACAAAAACAAAAAGAAAAAAAGCCCCCAACTACCATGAATAAACCGAGACAAAGAAAATGTTCCTTCAGCTGCACCTTTCGCTGGACATAAGCCACTTTTCCTCAGAGACCAAGCTACTGAGTCATCCTGCTATCTTTGCTATTTGGCTGATGGAGGAAACAGGAGATTTCACCTATAATGACAAGGATATAGGCTTCTAGGATGAGGCCAAAGTCGTACAAGGTTGGAACAAAAATTATTTCTAGTGAAGGGAATCTGTTAAGTGGCCTACTGGTGCCATCTGCTGTACAATTTGGAACGCAAACATGAGGAATTCTATTATTAGAGCCTGAAGGGATTCATTTATTCAATGTAAGTTTAGTCTGTCCCATGTGACAGGCAGTGTGACAGGATTGAAGAGTAGACATGAAGCCAAATACTAAAAGCCCCTGTTTTCTAGGGGCTCATGTCTAATGAAAGTGGAAGGTATTTAAACAGACAGGTGACCAGTGTGTTTTGTGCATCACAGGAGTATGTGTAAGATGGAAAGTTAGCAAAGAAGGAGTGATTATCTTTAAGTCAAAGGGGAACCCCATAAGGATTTTAAAGGATGGTTAGGGGTTTACCAGGAAGAGTAAAGGTGAAGGCGAAAGGCATCCAGGCAGAGGAGTGTGGACAAAAACCCTCAAGCACAAGATGACGTTTCATTATTAAACAGCTTAGTTTATATTCTGTAAGCATGAGGAGCCTTTCACTGGTTTTAGGCAGGGCTGTAATACGGTCAGCTAGACATTTCACAAAGACATTTGAGCAGCAAGGAAGGTGGAGAAATCGATTAGAAGGAAAGGTTGGAGGCAAGGAGACCAACCCTTTACAAGCTGTGCCAACAGTCCAGATGACAAATGATACAAAGTTAAATTAAGACAGAGGCAGTGAGAAAGGAGAGGAGAGGATGAATTTGAGAGCTCAGAGAGAAAATCAATACCATTTGATGTTCCATTGTCCAAAGGAGAGGTGTTGGTTTGGGTGACTAGGTAGAAGTAGGAGTAAACTAATGATTTCCATTTGGGACAAGCTGAATTTGAAGTGCTACAGACTAACCACAAGGTAAATGGATAGCAGTGATCATGTCATGTCTTCATTTCCCAAGGTAGACATTTCCTACTAGAGAAAGTCTTTGCTCCTATTGTAGGTACCTCTGCAGCTCACCTCTCTCCTTTAGGGTAAAGTCTGACTGCATCTGGTATTCCAAGCATTTTCATCTCCTTTCAGTCAGAAATAGCATGGCACAACACAGGAAAACATGACTGGTGATGCAGTGAGAAACACCTACCTCCCTAATTCAACAGCTGGAGCAAAATACTTAACTTCTCAAAGACTCATTTTCCTCATGTGTACTTGTCATAGTTGTAGAGTTTAAAGAATGCATACATAGGGCCTGACAAATCAGAAGTACTGAATGAGTCACTCTTATCCGTCAATCATAAAAGGTCATCAGAAACCTCTATGTTGTGTTAATGACTTGCTCTTAGCTTTCAATAGTTGAATCAAGAACTGGCTTTTCATATTTTCTGCAAAATTGCTAGTGAATGCACTTTTTCATCACACCATGTATACTCTTCATATATAAGGTCCCCACTAGATAAAGTCCTTTTCATATAGGTACTGGGAAGAAATTTCACCTTTTAAAGAACGTTTCCCTTAATTATTAGTTATTTCTTAAACTGACAAGTTTGGGGATTATTATAGGAAGTTTACTGGCCTTGTTGGCTAGTATATTTGCTTGTTTCTATTATAAAAATAATAGTCACCATTTTTTGAGCTGTTTTTGCTTGCCAGGTGCTTTATCTTCAATATTTCACTTAACCTACACAACCCTCTGAGCCATTACCGCCATTCTTCAGAAGAGGAAACATTAAACTATGGCTCAGAGATGTTTCTGGGTAGTGACCCAAAAGGTTTTCCTGACTTCCAATATCATTACTTATAACCTCGGCTTTGTATTAGCACTTCACATTTAGCTATTTGATTGCATTCAGTTAACTTTAAGCACATATATACACATATACAACGCAGAGGGCCCAAACCAAAACTAGGCCAGAACAAAAAAGAAGTTATATTTTAAGTTTGGAGCCTCTCGTGTGACTTTACTTCTGCTATAATCGGTACGATATTATGCATTCAATAAATGAAGCAGTTAGAAAATACACAATCTTTTAGAAAGCAGGCAGGGTTTTATGGGTAATAAGTGAAACTGAGGCCCAGGGAGGGGGCGGTATGGTGCTCAGACCGCTGGTTCCTAAACCTGGAACTCTGGGATTCCAACGACCCACCCCATCACCATTTAAAGGGGCGCAAACAAGGCTCACAGGGCTATTGAACCCTCCCTTCATGTGCCTGAGAGGTCCTGCTAGCGGCTGAGGCCTGGCCAGCTTGGACGAGGGTGCGTCCACTTTTCACGCTGCAGCGACGAGAGGTCAGTCAGTTACAGATTTCCATCGCTCCAAGCTGCAGTTTCTCGGCGGAGAACTAAATCCAGCGACCCCTCTTAATTGCAACTCACCTGAGGTTGAGGGAGCGGGCCTTAGAGAGAGAGAGAGAGAGACAGAGAGAGGAGTGCCTTTCTCTCATTTAGAACTTCGCGAGATCTTCTCTTAAGCAGAACGATTGGTTGAAAGACGGAAATTGGGGTGTTACTCACTGTTTCCTCGGATCTCTGATTGGTCCTCTGGAGGAGAAGATGGCTAACATCATCGAGTTTCCTAGGTACCTATTGGTGAATGATGCTGTCCTACTTGCGCGCGGGAACGGCGCGGGCGTTCGAACCTGCGTTTGGCGGCGTTTCCATGGGGATGAGGCCTGGCTGCCTGCTCAAGCTTAGGACTTGATAAGACACCCGCCTGCATTCGGGCTCTCTCCAGTCGTCATCGTCTTCTCCTGTCCTCAGACAGGGTTGACCGACGAGGAATTTGGAAGCCTTAGAGGTGAGAAAGGGCAGGGGAGAACCGGGGCGGGGTAGGCCTGGTAGGGAGCCTTGGCGCCTGCCTCGCCGGAGAGGGTACGCAGGACACTAGCCGAGCGCGTAAGGAGGCGGGCGGTTGTCAGGGAACCGGCAGTTGGCCTCAGCCGGTTGTGCGAACTCTCACCCACTCTTCTACCCTTCATTCCCATATATCCGCCTTTTTCCCAACTATTTTCTCGAACGCCACTTCTCTCAGGAAGCCCTTACTGATTCTCGACGTCCTCTTGCTTTTGCCCCCGTATCTCTGATTGGAACCTTACTTACACCGTTCTCTTTGGCCTTTCCTCTTCAATTATTTGTGTACTTCCGTGAACACCATTCTCCTTTCTCTCACGTAAGTCTGAGGTTTTTGCGGCAAGGCAAGCATCTTTCACACAGAATTTCCTAGAAGTATTTGTTGAGTTTAATTCGTCACAATTAGGTTGGATTTTCGTCTATGCCCTGCCCCGTTTTTGCTCCCATTCAGAGATTATTTTTAACTGGGAGGAGGGGGAGGGCACCCTAATCTTCTATGCAAAAGATCCTGAAAGTCCACGGTTGGCCTTTCTAAATCTTTGTGAAAGCAAAAACTTTTTTGGGTTACTTGCTATGACTGTTCCCCACATTGTGGCTTTTAGTCTTGGTCTCCCAGTGCTTTGTTAGACGCCCTATAAGTGTTTGCTTAAAACAGATCATTCTGTTGTTCCTGTATGCTGACAGAGTTTATCTCAGTTTTTTAGTGGCCCATAGCTATTGTCACATTTTAAGTGTGCTTTGGAAAATGTTTTAAGACATTTTTTCCTTTGTATTCCACTTACAGTCTCTCTACTTTAGGACATATAACAGCTGCTCCAGTAAGCCTGTCCATTCATCAGGTGTCCATAAGAGAATTGCATTGCCAAGATTGTTAACTCATAATTCTATATATTCTCTGTCTTGCCAATGGATTTCAGCCCCAGGCAAGTTCGCTATGGATTCAATGTGACCAAAGAAATCGACAGCAAAACGTTCTTGGGGTGAAAGGGTTTATTACCCGGCTTGTTCTCCAGCGGTAGGTCGAGTACTAGCGTCTCTGCCTCCGCCCAGAGCACTGGGCCGAGCTCTCTATATAGCGCAATAATAGCTTATTGCCTACAGGTGTGGAAGTGGCAGCCCAGCAGCAGGCAGTTACATCATCAGGTGGGTTAAGTTGAGTGAGGATTCTGGCCACAGGAACCCCAACTTCCCCACACTCTCAGTCTGCATTGTTGATAATTCTTATGTCAAATTCATACCTCAGTGATGACTTTAATAAAAGGATTGACACAGTAAGGTGTAGCAGTTATTTACTTTTACCTTCTTATAAAAGTTTGAACACTACCTTACAGCTGAACTGAAGATTGTGACATGTAATGGACACCAGGCTGGGGATTAAGGTTTGGTTTTGGCTCTGTCTCTAACTCACTCACTGTGGCTGGTTTTGCAAGTCATTTAGCCCTTTTGGACCTCACTTTTTCCATCTGGAAAATCAAAGGGTTCAATTAGGTTAGAATTCCTGTGGCTCTACTATGAGTTTAGTCAAGTAAACTGGTGTCAGGTAGACATCATTTATTCAGCCTTCCAAAGACTATACAGCAAACTAGGACAGGATCCTCCCATCTTTCAATTTAGGAGGAACAGAAGTTTTTCTTGGCCGCAATGTTGTTGTTTGTAAAGTGAGGGGTTGAACTCTTCTCATATCCCACATAGATTAGTTGATCTAATAATTTAGTTTCCTGTAGTGGCTCAGCATACCTGTTCATAATCTGTGCAGAGTAGATCTTCTGCAAATTTTTTGTTAAATGAGTAATAGTGTTTTACTTACTATACTTTAAATGTTGTGGTCATTGTATATTTCCTGAGTTACTGTCTCATGGATTTTGGTGTTCATATACTATTAAACAAGGAGACTTTTCCATAGGCATAAACTAATAATAATTGGTACCAATTGTATTGGAAAAACTCCGTTTTCCACCTGTGTCTTTTTCCTGTGTAGGGAAAAACCTTGGTTCTTTTCCCTTCTGTGTGCCTCTTTTATTAGTCACACCGAACACTTCACGTTGTCACCAAACATGAGGTTTTTTCCTCCACCAAGTAATTCTCTGATACCAGTTGGGTGCCCTATAGTTTAACTCTGACACTATCTATCTGAGATAGTGTCAGATTCCATGGGTTAAAGGCTCAGTCCCACAAGACTGCTCCTACCCAACTTAAGATGTCAATCACAACTAGTAGGTCCCCAGATTACCCACAACTTCCATCCTATTTGGCTACAAATTAAAGGTTCTTATGACCCCTTCCTCAGGTTTGATTCATTTGGTAGAGCAGCTCACAGAATTCAGAAACACTTACGCTTACCAGCTTATTAAAGGTCATCATAAAGGATACAGATGAACAGCCAGATGAAGGTACATAGGGCTAGGTCTGGGAGGGTCCAAGTGTAGGAACTTTTGTGCCCCTGCAGTTGGGGTGTGTTACCCCCTTGGTGTGGATTTGTTCACCAGCCTAGAAGCTCTCCAAACTCCATGCTTTTGGGATTTTAAGGAGGCATCATCATATTGGCATGACAATTTATTAACTCCACTTCCAGCCCCAATCCTCTCTGAAGAATTAGAATTCTGACTGAAAATTCCAAGCTTCTCCTTATGGTTTGGTTTTTCTGGTGACCATCCTCCATCCAGGAGCCCACCCAGAGGCACCCCATTAGAACAAAAGATACTCATAGTGTTCTTATCACCTAGGAATTTACAAGGGTTTTAGGAGCCTTGAGTCAGGGATGGGGTCAAAGACCAAATACTAGAAGAAGAGATGCTCCTAGTGCTCCTATCATTTAGGAAATTACAAGGGTTTTAGGAGCTCTATGCCAGGAAGCAGGGACAGAGACTATATATATTTTCTATTATCTCACACCATTTTATTGTTGAGTGTTTATGTACCAGATATTTAATTCAGCACTTTATTTACATTATCCTAATTAATCCTCACATAAGCAAACATCTTTCCCAAGTTACTATTACCTTTGACTGTTTAACTCTATAGTAGCTTCCTAAATGATCTCCCTCCTATTTCCTCATCCCTTACAATCCATGTCTCACAACACTGGCAGAGTGATCTTTAAAGTCCTCCATGCCTTCTTGCTTCACTGTAAATTAAAATCCAGACACCTTTACATGACCTTTACATGACCCTGCATAACCTGGCCCCTCCCTTTCTGTCTTCATGTGATGTTGCTCTCTCACCTACTATGTTAGAGCCAGACTGGTCTTGATCATGCCATTCTCACTTCCACGTTAGAGCCAATATGCTTGCCTGGAATGCTCTTCCTCATGATCTTTACATGAATAACTTCTTCATATTACTTCAGATTTCACCTCAAATGTTCTCTTCTGAATGAGGCCTTACCATCCAATGTGAAGTAGCACATATCACTATCTGAAATTATCTCCTCCCACTAGAATAATAGCACCTTAAGGGCCGTGGCCTTACCTGTTCTGTTCACTGATATATCCTCAATATCTAGAACAGGGCCTAGCTCCTAAAAGGCCCCCAAAAACTATTTCTTTAATGATGGGATGAAAGATTCTTGTTGGAACTGTGACCCTCTGGTCACAATGTCCATAGCTGTGTCCATAGCAGTTCATTATTACAGTCTTTTGTTTGCTCAGGAGCAACTACAAACTCTGCCAGTTTCCCTGAGCAATCAGATTACCCTGATTTAGTTTCTACTATGACAATAAATGGTATCAAATGCTTTTGTATAGTTTTAAAAATAGTGTAGGGATATTTATTCATTTATTCATTAATAATTGTTGAATGTGTATTATTTTCAAACACTGTTTTAGATACTAGGAATAAAAAGATTAGTAAGATAATAATGAATACATATAATAAGATAATATATTCCTTGATCACAAGATCACATTCCAATGGAGAAAATAAACATACTACTCATAGATAATTGCTACAGAATGCAACTGCAGTGATAGAGATATGCAAAAATGTACGATATAAATACAGAAGAGACCTCCAAACCACATCTGGGGAAATCAGAAAATACCTCATTTGTGTTTTGATCAATGGGTAAGAGGTAGACAGGTAAAGTGAGATTTAGTAAGAGTGTAAGGAGGCTGTTTAAGAGCTTGTGAATAAATGCATAGAGAAAGAAAACAGTCTAAACGGTCGACTAAACTGGAGAATGAGAGGAAGGGGCTAGACTATAAAAGGCTTTATAGGGCATGCTAAGGAGTTTGGACTTTGTTCTGTACATAGGTAACAGGATGCCACTGAAGGGTTTTAGATAAGGGAGCAGCATGGTCAAAACTGGGCTTTCACAAGAATGATCTGGCTTTCTAGTGGGGAGGATGGCTTAGAGGGGGCAAGACTGGAGGCAGGGACAGCGGTTAAAAGACAAGTAATGATCTAGGTGAAGGATACTGGGACTAAACAACCAAACCTGTGGTGGTAGGAAGGAGGGTAGCAGATGGGAAATTTGACAAATATTTAGGAGATTAAATTGACTGGACCTGTTGCCTAGATTTGGGATTAAAGGAGAGGAAGGAATCTAGGATTTTTCCCAGTTTATCTCTGAATGACCAGATGGATAGGGTAAATGGTATTGTCACACCCACCCCTC